TTTGGTCTAGGTGTTATGTAAAATTCTGCCATAATATTCTAAGGTGTGAGTCATTGCTCGTGCTATATGACACTGTTTTGTCTTATTCAGACGATGAAACCATTTAATACTGCGTGAGACGTTGTTCCAGAAGTGAATGCAAGTTCAGTTTTTACACGGCCGTTCTTACGCTTCTAAAGCAAATGTAGATGAGAATAGTCCTAAACTTTACTCAGCACCCAACAAATTAACATACAAACCATCGTAATACAAGAGCTATCTTGCTGAAACTCACTCACTTAGCGTTCAGTTTGTGGCTGGGGTTACTAAGCTGCCCGTCTTGTGGTCAAAGGGAGGTAATCCTGAAATTCTCATTCGGAGTCGACAGGCATTTTATTGTTGCAGTTGATTGTAAAAGTTACTTTATCCGGTCGTTAAGTATCCTAGCGTTGTATTTTTCAACCCCTAAACAATATGAAGCTCCTTCCTTGCAACAGGTCCAAACACATTAATACGTCCAACCATTGCTTTCAATTTGTGGTCAAAGGGAGATAATCGCGTGGATTAAGGGTTATGTCCCTTCAAAAAGGTTGACTGGCCTCCTGTCTGGCTAAAATCGGTGAGCTTGCGTGACGTACTAACGGAGGAACCAGTTTATCAAAAAGGCTCCCAACAGTGTCTCCCTGGTGAAAACTCCTATCATCGCATGCTTCGTCACGGAGTCCTTACAAAAGCTCCAAACAGAGTTAAGTCACCTCAAACTCTGCACTCTGTGTGCTACATCCATGCTCCTCACAGCCTCACAGTATATCATCGCGCTGGGAAGGAGCTTGTGCTACATCTATCCAAGGGAAGTAATTCTTACGGGCGTATCGCATAGTTACCTCCCTTTGACCACAAAAAAATCGCCTGGCATTGTTGTCACTTTTCGGCTTAGGTTCACTCGGTTTATGGTGACATGGTAGTGTTGGGATATCCACTCAGCTATGATTCTCTTCCTTTCAAGGAAACCTTCGGGAAAAAACAAGCTAAGTTGCATTTGTAAAGAAATAGACCAAACTGACTAGAAGATGGTTTGTGGTTATCCCCCTTTGACCGCAAATCGGCATGCTCGTCGTATTGGTATTTTTTTTCACACACACACACACACACAAAATACCAGACTGAAAATGGTGCTCTTGCTTGTTGTCTCTATGTTAACAATGTTTTTGTAAAAACACCGTGTACTGGTTTCAGAGTAGTATAAATCTGTGAACATGTGTGATACACCTTGCACTGGTTTCAGAGTAGTTTAAACCTGTGAACATATGTGATACACCTTGTACTGGTTTCAGAGTAGTATAAATCTGTGAACATATGTGATACACCTTGTTCTGGTTTCAGAGTAGTATAAATCTGTGAACATATGTGATACACCTTGTACTGGTTTCAGAGTAGTATAAATCTGTGAACATATTTGATACACCTTGTTCTGGTTTCAGAGTAGTATAAATCTGTGAACATGTGTGATACACCTTGTACTGGTTTCAGAGTAGTATAAATCTGTGAACATGTGAGATTATTAATAACGGAGGACCTCATTTGCTTGTGCTTCATACACATGTTGACATATATTGAATTTCAAGAGACTTTTAATTGAAACCACTTCTTAACCACCTGGTCAGTAGACTACTGGGAAATCAATCAAATGGAATACATCATGAATACAAAATTCATGATGCCACATTATAGCATGAATATAGTAGTATACCCGTCTGCGTCTGCTTGCGGCTCCCTTTCCAGGAAGACATTTTTGTTTGAAAAACCTACCATTTATGAAAGGCCCTATTTTTTAATCACCCATCAGCGACAGTTTGTGATATATTGACTAGGAACGATGTTCTTTTCAAGTGGAATCTGTCGGTATTCGAATTTGTCATTTCCCAAAGTAACTGTCGGATATGAATTTCGCTATCGTCTGATACACAATCAACTTATCATATTGATAACATGAAGGTGCAAAATAACACACGCAGTCGTTTTAGCTTATAAACTCAACAACAAAAGTTCCTGTGACACCAATATTGTAGTGTATTTTTCAAACAAGTAAAGTTTGGTTTTCAATATTGTAGTACATGTTTGGAATCAAGTCACAAAAACGCAACTGCTACAGAAAAGCATGCATTCCATGCAATAGTTGACTTTTATGCAAGCCCCATGCTTTTCACTACCCAAGAATGGGTATAAAAACATGTGCGTGAACGGGATTCCATATGCATTGTTTAGCATCGTGCTGACAACAACCACTCAGAAAAAACAACAAAATTATGCAATTATTCAACATTACGAAATGACACGACTGTCCGAAAATGAGCGTCTGCGAGCCATTGGTATGCTTGAAGCAGGATCGAGTCAGCGTGATGTTTCAAGACAATTTAACGTCCACAAAAACACCATTTTGGTGTTTAGGGCAACGTTGACAACAGACGAATGCAGTCATAGACCATCCTCGGAGTGGCAGGCCACGCGTAACCAATAATCGACAAGACAACTGGATTCGAACAACACACCTACGAAATCGATTCCAGCCAGCAACAGTGACTGCAAGAAGCATCCCTGGCCTTCGACGAATATCTTCACAAACCGTACGTCGTCGCCTCAGATGTGCAGGGATTGTCGCCAGAAGACCCGCCATTTTGACAGGAAACCACCGTCAACCACGTCTACAGTGGTGCAGACAGAGTCTACGCTGGACGGCCATGCAGTGGGGACAAGTTCTATTCACTGACGAGTCTCGTTTTCACCTCAGCCACAGCGATGGACGGATTCGAGTGTACCGAAGTCGAGGTAAACGTTACGTCGATCATTGTGTCATGGAAGAAGATCGGTTCGGGGGCGGCAGAGTTATGGTATTGGATGGGATTACAGCAAGACAGAGGACCCGTTTGATAGTGGTAGAGGGAAATCTCAATGGACAGCGCTACCGCGACGAGATCATCGGCCCTGTTGTTCTACCGTTTTTGCGTCGTCATGGCCCAGGGATTACCTTTCAACATGACAACGCCCGGCCTCATATTGCTCGACTTGGTCAGGATTCTCTTCAACCAAACAACGTGAATGTCATCCCCTGGCCGGCTGGCTCCCCTGATCTCTCACCAATCGAGCACATGTGGGATGAGATGGATCGGCGACTTCGACGTCAACCACGTGTTCCACAGACACTCCAGGAACTTCGAAACATGCTCCAGCAGATATGGACAGATATCCCGCAGGACTTTGTGCGACGCCTGCTCCATTCCATGAGACGAAGATGTTTTGCTTGCATCGCAACCAGAGGTGGACACACGCTATTGATTTGTAAATTGACATTTTGGCATGTTCATGTATTTTATGAAATCACGCATTTTCTGAAGTCAGTATGGCAAATTAAACCATTTTAACACTTACAGCAGTCTTTTATCTGTTCCAAACCGAAATTCAGATTTGGTAAAAGACATAACTTTGCATTAAATCTTATTCAATGTCACAGGAACTTTTGTTGTTCATTATAATTGTAATATACGCGTTAGTATAATTTCAATTGCGTATTTAAAGTTTTTGTTGCCTATTTGATACGCTATGTTTTGATTTCTCCGCGAATTTCAGTTTATTTAATGTGTATTGTGCGCAAATACGCGTACATGGATATAGTAGTAATATTGAACTAAACACTGCAGAAGTTATATCACACATGTTCGTTTATGTAATATATTATGTATGTACTCAGATATGCATACATGTAATACCGATAATATATATCGGCCATTTATATACTGAAGACTCTATTTACTCAGCTCCCTTGGGAGTATACAAACAAAACTACCCGTAAAATGCTGAAAGGTTTTACATTCACATCACCATCTCACCCTGCCAGATAAACATCCACATCACAATCTCACCCTGCCAGATAAACATTCACATCACCATCTCACCCTGCCAGATAAACATTCACATCACCATCTCACCCTGCCAGATAAACATTCACATCACCATCTCACCCTGCCAGATAAACATTCACATCACCATCTCACCCTGCCAGATAAGCATTCACATCACAATCTCACCCTGCCAGATAAGCATTCACATCACCATCTCACCCTGCCAGATAAACGTTCACATCACAATCTCACCCTGCGAGATAAACATTCACATCACCATCTCACCCTGCCAGATAAACATTCACATCACAATCTCACCCTGCCAGATGCAAATTCACATCACAATCTCACCCTGCGAGATAAACGTTCACATCACAATCTCACCCTGCCAGATAAACATTCACATCACCATCTCACCCTGCCAGATAAACATTCACATCACAATCTCACCCTGCCAGATAAACATTCACATCACAATCTCACCCTGCCAGATATACATTCACATCACCATCTCACCCTGCCAGATAAACATTCACATTACAATCTCACCCTGCCAGATAAACATACACATCACCATCTCACCCTGCCAGATAAACATTCACATCACCAACCTATCCAAACAGGTAAACATTCACTGCAGGGTGAACAGAGGTAGATTTTGAAACAAAGTCCCAACATGCTTTATAACCAGTGTTAAGTGTGCGACAGGACACGCCCTAGAAACCCAGGAGTGAAGATTTGCCTACCACAGCCATCAACCAATTCACCAGCACCTGCTCCGATCTGTATTACTATCAGACATTTTTGTGGTCGGTCGCTTCATTAGTGAAAAATGTATATATTTATTGCATATATACTCAGAGACCACAAAATAAGTAGTCTGACATACTAAAACAGGAACCAACAATTTATAATGGAGCTCCGAGCTGTTTCATTTCTCAACTCCAAATGAGACTATTTAAGTGCTTGGAAAAATACCAACTAGAATACCGAATAAGTTCTGCATTTACATCTATCGTGATGTATATAGGACAGTGTGAAATCACATCTTTGTAAAAAAAAATCTATTGTAACATTGTAATATTCGTACAACCAGTAGGATCTTTTACCGGAAGTAGTTCTAGCTTCCGACCAAAATAAACATGGCGGACGAAGAACAAAATAAAGAGTTTACGCAGACGAAAGTCGAACTGAATCAACGGGTGATTTCCGACCAGACTGTTAAGCTGTCAAAGGTAACTATGGGGCTACTTGAATCCACGCCTGTAATTCGTCACAAGATTGTTGGGTAATACGCCTCCCTTCCTCAGATGAATGTATGATAATCTATGCAGTTTTGTCACCCTGATAACAAATGTCGCTCGCTCCCGAGTGACAGCTCTCTGCGGGTGGCCGTTTATACTACCGATGATTGTCTACCTGTTTTGTTAAACATCGGAGAATTAATTATTTGTGTGGTATCGATTGAATGACTGGATGATAAAAAAGCCCGATTTGTTTACATGTTATGCTCTATTTATTACATTACGAATATGATATTTGCCACACCCCCTTCACAAGCCTATTCCAGGTTTCTTTCATCATTTTGCAGATCGACATTGTGAGAACAATCTTGTCAAATTATTTGACATACTCTGTCTTCTCCAATGCATGTGTCAAGCTATCCTCTGTCATCTATGTTTTAACATCTACATTGGATTTCATTTAATGACTGCTGGTTTTTGCTGCTGTCAGCAATATCCTTGCTATATCATTGTTGCTTGAAAATGATCATGTCAAGATCAGGTAGATCTACACCAGTTATTGATATCATTATAAACAATGAAACATGAACATACACTGGCAACTACATATAACCCCAAGCTTTTCTTTAAACTGAAATGTGGATCAGAAGGTCACAATTTGTGACAGCATGAATCATCTCTGATGTTGTCACCTGTTTGTCTGAACAATGCTTGAATATTTAAAGGTCTGCCTTGATATAACTTGAAGTTTGCTGACTAACAATAGTAAATCCCTTACTGAGAAATTGTACATGGCATGTTTCAAAGATTTTTCATTGACCATGGAGATGAATTATCAAACTGGAGCATGTGCAAGCTTAGTGTCTTGTTTAACATGTTTAACTTGTATAATGAATGATTTTCATTAGGAGATAAGCCTACTATGTTTTTAAATTTGAGGTAGTCTAACTATAGATTGGATATTTTATATTTTAACTTGACCATGTTAACAAGAACGCTTTGAAATTGGTGCTCCTTTAGAACACGTTATTACACATGGGTATATAGGCCAGCTGTCTTAAGACATTTAAAAAAAGGTCACAGATAGTGAAAATTCTTGTTCAAGATAAATTACTTATGTTCTTGACTGGCTCAAAATAATAGTTACAAATTTGTACATAATTTGTACGAAAAATGTCATCTGATCAAACAACCCCCATAGATATGTATTTTTTTTCATCGCACCCTCTTGCATAAATTGCTGTGCTAGGATTTAATTAAGTTGTATCTTGGAAATGTACATGATGTCTTCAATTTTTGTCAGCACCATACCCTTACTGTTTGATATTTTGTTTGTTTGATGTTTAACGTTGCACTTAGCAATATTCCAGCTATATGATGATGGTCTGTAAATAATTGAATCTGGACCAGACAATGCAGTTATTGACACCATGAGCATTGATTCATGCAATTGGGATACGATGACATGTATCAACCAAGTCAGCAAGCCTGTCCACCCGATCCCAATAGTTCTTCTTACGACAAGCATGGGTTGCTGAAGACCCATTCTACCCCGAATCTGCACGTGTCACTGTTTGATATAAGCATGGAGGTAAACATGGTAAAGGTGTTCAGACCTGCATCACTTCAGACCAAGTTCCACATTAAGCTGATATGCCATGATGACCATTGATAACTGAAATACTGTCCAAGGCGGACTCTTGCTCAAATTGTTGCTTGCTTTTTTTTCAGTTACTTCTTATTGAGGGTTTGTGTTTTAAAGACCGATTTGGTTAACTTTCAGCCCAACTTGCTACAATGGCTGGAGATTACAGTGTCGGAGCCAGAGAAGCGAACCAATGCCTCCATGAAGATGCAAGACACGTTCATCGTGTACCTCATAGAAACAAGGTACATACAACCACAATAACATTTACATTGGGAAAAAGGGCACATAAGAACTGTGTTGGTTTACAAATGGGCAATCATAATGTGATCAATACAGTATGAAGTATTTAATGGATTATATTCCTTATGCTCATCTGAGCTGACTCTCATTGAAAGGGACTTCACTCAAAACTTGATGCAAGTCATTCAAACAAAAAAACGTTTTCTGCTTTTATGTGTATTAATCTTACAGTTAATTGTTGCCTTAAATACACTGAGATAATGTATTAATTCCATACGTGGCAGTAATTACAAAGTCTACAGACAGAATGGAAATGGGTTTCAGGACACTTGGCACATGTCGATAGCAATTGAATGTATCGCTTAACTAGAAAAAGACATAACTAGATCATGTCAATAATGTTGTGGGTCTTTCGGAACTGCTCTAGTACAAATGTTGGATAATTACGTGCATTTTCTCTATCCCTTGAATATGGTGAGTCAACGTGGACAATTTCGTCATGGGAAAGTGTAGTACGAAGATTTCTGTAAGGCATAGCTTTTCTATGGCTTCTAGTGCCAGCGAGGATCAACACACAAGTGACACTCTTTCAATGGCACTGATTGATAACTGCTGTGATCACTATATATTGGTTGATTATGCTAAGTGTTTCAATTCACTTCCTGGCTCTGTTTTGAGGTGGTGCTTGATATTTTCTAGAGTAATAGATGAGAATATGAAGGGTTACGGAGAGGGGGCAACGTCGCTGTGGAGGCGATACAGCGAGTTTGAACTGCTCCGCAACTACCTTGACATCACATACCCATCTGTCGTCGTGCCACCGCTGCCCGAGAAAAAAGTAAGTATGTGGGCTCATTTGTGTATACATGATATATATGTTAGCTCAACTGGGTAAAGAGCATGCACGAAAAGCTGCATTGTCCGTTGTTTGTACAACTTGTCACTTTGACATTTTTGGTTTCATGAGAACATGTACAAATGATGATGGAGTTTGATCATGTTATATGGGATAGTTACACGATAAATCGCAAAGAACAATGAAGAAGGAAACGTGGTATATTTCACGATAAAACATTGTTCTATCACAAGGTAATTTCTGGGGATTTGAACGTGCGCTCGCAACTTGATGGCGTCGCAAATTGGACAACATTATTTTTGAGAGGGAATTGTCTGGTGAGTTGTTCCCCATAGATGTAGCGGGGCAACACAGATGAACACAATTGCCGAGTAATCACTTTCAAAAGTGGGAGAGATATGGTAATCGGTCTAAGGAGAAAAGGTACAGATAACCGACGTGAAAATTGTGAGAATATCAGAGAAATACTAAATGTGAGCCTCCTGTTCATAATATAGACTTCTCTGACATGCCAAGGTGGGATTGTATTCAGGCAGTTATTATTATTTAAATAAGAGTTAAATTTAAAGCATGTACATTTTATTAAGATTCTTAAAGGGGCTGTACAAACGTTGATATTTCATATAATAAATCTATGACTCAGGGCCTGCGCCCTTCATGGTTTATTCTCCCTACAGTGTTTTATTGTACGATAAGCAATTCCCACTCTTCCTTTATTTCTTAAATATGTACTGATAGTCCGTCATGAAATACAGGTCATACAGTAAACTACGGTTATTATGAACACGCTTATGACGAACTGATGGATATAACAAACTGTCCTTTTTGGTCCCGGCAATTTGCTGTATATATACTGTATACATGCTTATTACGAACTACGGTTATAACAAACTAGAATTTGAGCTCCCTTTGAGTTCTTTATACCCGTAGTTTACTGTAGTCAGATCGGTCAGTTATGAGTAGGTCAAAGGTAACATAACCATCATGGAGTAAAACCTACAAAGGACTTAAGTAAAACCTTGTTCAGCACTAGCAGGATTAGTTTGTGGACCCTAGTTTGTGATGTCCCATGTGATTAAAACACTTTGTGAAATGATATTTTATCACAAGTGGCTTGGAGGTATCGCTTGGATGAGATCAAGCTAGTTAGCTGCACTATTTATACCCAAGACACTAGTTATAACGGTTTGCAAACAGAAAAAGTTGGAAGAATGATTTTGGATGATAATTAGAATCTCACTCTCATGTCTTTTGATATAAAATATATCAACAGCATGCCTTGTAGCTTTAAGCTTTATCGACTAGTGTTGATATATTTGGTATCAAAACACACTGAAGTGAGATTTTCTGTATGTTGTTGCAAAATGAAAGATCATTTATCATGTTTATGAGGTATGAACTATTTCAACCAATATTTTGATCATTATCGTAAAGTTACATCATTTTAGCAACTTGTCCCACTTGCATTGTAATGTTTTTCTTTTGACCAGGATGGCATGTCTAGGATGTCCTTCACGTTTTGTCAGTGGACATTATAGCCAAGACTTTGTCTCTGTTAAGCTGTAAGCACAGTGTGTTTGTTGCAGGCCTCATATACCTGGCAGAATGCTTCAACGGACAAGTTTGACCCCGACTTTATAGAGAGGAGGAGACAGGCACTGGAGGTAAGGCGCAGATCACATACAGCAAACATGGAGGGATAACCTTCAACAAATCCCAGTCATTTCAAATACAAGTTTTATTTCAATCCCCTACACTGTAAAGCCTTTTTTTGTCACTACCACTTAATTACTAACTAAATTTGAGTTTATGATACCGGTAATGTGAGTGGTTGTAGTTAAACACCAGGAACAAGCAGCTGGTGGAATGAAGATTTCTTGCAAACATGGGCTAGTTAATTTTTAACCACAGTTCAGTCTCAAGACTCATGTTTGTTATGTTTATTTGTTGACTGAATATCTTGAGAGAAAGTGAGATAAATGGTTACCTGACTATGATGCCATGTTTGTTGTCAGGTGTACCTCCTGAGAGTTGGAGCACACCCCATCCTCTGTCAAGACAAGACCTTCCTTGGGTTCATGCAGAAGGTACAGCTAGGATAACTACAGCCAAACTGTGGCAATTCTCGCAGCAGGGCTATACCCAATCTTATCAAGACAAATGGTGTCTTATCATAACTAAGCATGACTTGGTTTTGTGGTTCTTATGTGTGCATTGATGACTAGGTTTAAGAAAGAAGATACTGAATAATTTCATGAGATAATTCTCCCCCAAAAATGTGATGTCATGATTAAAGATGCAGTACCTCTATTACAACACTAACCATGTTTGTCCATCTTTCACCAGACATAAGTCAAGTCACTTCTTACACTTGTGCAATCTTCATGTTGTGGTTTACAAGTTCGGTTATCATTATTCCTCTTTAATAACCATGTTTTTATTCTCATATAGCACAACGATTCTTGTTATTTGTTTTGGGTACCTCAAATATCTAGCATAAGAACATGAACTTTGTAATCAGACAATTTGATCAAGGCTACGCTTTTCATCATTGCAGGAGAATGGCTGGAAGGAATCAGTGTACGCCACAGACTTTCAAAGCAAGGTGAGGAGGTCTTGTCTGCTGTATACATGATAGAGTGAATGAGTGAGTTGGGTTTAACGCCACTTTTAACAATATTCCAATTATATCACGGCGTGTCAGCTTAATGTGGGAGGAAAGCCCGAAGTGATGCAGGTCTCAGACGTTTACCACCTCGGTGAAACTCACGAGCACGGGTATAGTGCTGACAAACCTAGAAACATAATCAGGGCGAACCGGGATTTGAACCAACAATCAGGTTTCTGGCGTGCCCAAGGGACGCAACTCTGCACATCAAATCGCAGCGCCTTAGATGACTGGACCACCCGTGCCCCCTACATGATAGAGGATAAGACATGCCTGGCATATACCTAAGCTGCAAGCCATTAGGAAAAGAAAGTTATATGGTTGGGTAGCCTTGTGATGAACGTGATGATTTGGTTTGTTTGGTTTGTTTGTTGTTTAACGCCGCACTCAGCAATATTCCCGCTATATGATGGCGGTCTGTAAATAATCGAGTCTGGACCAGACAATCCAATGATTGATATCATGAGCATCGACATACATCAACCAAGTCAGCGAGCCTGACCACCCAATCCCATTAGTCGCCTTTCACAACAAGCATAGTCGCCTTTTACGGCAAGCATGGGTTGCTGAAGACCTATTCTACCTCGGATCTTCATGAACGTGATGAATGTAAGATTTCTATAAAAAGGTTAACTTCAGAGTGGAATAAACAGGATCTTCAACCATTTTCAACCATCAGGGGCGGTCGGGTAGCCTAGTGGTTAAAGCGTTCGCTCGTCACGCCGAAGACCCGGGTTCGAATCCCGACATGGGTACAATGTGTGAAGCCCATTTCTGGTGTCCCCCGCTGTGATATTGCTGGAATATTGCTAAAAGCGGCGTAAAACCAAACTCACTCACTCACTCTTCAACCACCAATGATTCAGTTGTTACTGGTAACTGAATTAGAGAGGACTTAGTTCCACCATACCTGTTCAAATCTCAGGGTAACACAGACTTAGGTATTTGTTTTACTGTGTAACTTCAACACTGTATCCCATGGCCACGTCATACCAAAAGACTACATACTAGAGCTCAGGATTAAGGGGATAAAACAAGGACTGGTCAGCTCAGTTAGTTTCATGTGTCTGAGTGGGGTCTCCATGTTAAACTGTGGCATGGTATCTCAGTGCACCTTAAAGTGCAGGTAAAGGATAGCACTATAAGACCAACATAATTCTAGACTAGTCCAAGCAGCCACACACATACGCGACTGCATGTTGCTATATAACATATGTGAAATAATCTTCACGTTAAACCTCCTTTTATCTCATCTCAAACACTGTATCCAGACAAGGATAAGCCATAAATGGCTGAGATGGCAATATCTTCTACTCACAACTAGATCACTGTTACAGCTAATCTGTTGGTATGTTTATTTTCAGGCAGATTCCAGACTAAAGGCACTGAGTGCCTCATTCCGTCTCAAGAAACCTGACAGGTAGATTTTGACACTGTCCTCAATAGAGATTAGTTATTTGGTCCCAGTGATATCAGGGTGTGAGAATCTCAAGACAACAACAATTTTAACAGATCATTGGTCATGAGTGTTTTGGATTCATGCCATATTTGATGATTCAAGATTCTGAAATACTGCCCCTTGAAGATAAGAGAATGTCCAGTGCTTAAAACAGTAACATATACAAAAGTAAAGTCAGATTCAGTGTATCTCTGGCAAATTGACCTTGGCCCATCCATGAATTATTACAGAAGCTGTACAATATTTGTACTATCTGCTTTCATGGTCAGAGAAAATAAGCCTTGTGCGTGCTGTTTCCCTAAAAATTAGATTTGTTTAAACTCTCTCTTTTTGCAGTGACATTATTTGTTCTTGTGTTGTTGCAGGCGGTTCGAGGAGTTGAAGAACTACAGCAATGAACTTCAGAACAACATATCGAACATACTTCGAATCAGAGCTGTAAGTAAATACGTCATCATTTTATCAGAGATTTGCCACTATTATTTGTGACAATTTAAGAAGCAACACATTGTTCGATGGACCTCCATGCCAGTCGTTTTTCTTAAAACACTAAACATGCTAAATACAAAAATATGACAAAACAGATGATGTCATTCTGGCCCATTGAAACCCTAATGTGTTACTAGGTACTTTCAAATAGCCGCAATTCTTAAAAATATTTATTATTTTGGATGTTTTGGATCGTAGGTCAGTAATGGCATTAGTTTGTATATGCATACATTTGAATATGAATAGATACAACTTAGGTCACCTGTCATCTGGTTGGCTGAATTTCAGTTGCAAGTAATTCATGTAGATATTAACAAAATTTGCATAAACTAAATTAAAGGGGCACTTGCGGTAGGAACTACTGCACTGTCAGTAGGCGGAGATTATACTAGTGACCTGATAGGTCAATATGACGTCATGCTAATGATACTGTGGAATGTCCACGATTTATGTTTATATTCCAGTCCAACACACAAATTAGTTCTGCGCTATTCTCTGGATGAGAAAGACACACGTTTGTCGTGATGAATAAGAGCAGTGTTTATGAACAAAACACCATAATATGTATCACGGCACCAATCGTAATCCTGTGGTGTAAGGTATATCTACAGTTTATGAATGGCATTCCTCACAATATACGACTGATTTGATTTTTTATGATAAAACTACAGACTTATATCTAGATATAGAGCCATTTGTGGTATCCAAGGTTTGTCATTCAAGTTGATACAAAGTTTGACGGTCAATGGTGATCTTGTTTACGTACGTTTTTCAAAAAGTTTCTCTCCACACTCGATTGTGTTTACATTGTCAGTCCCTGTTCAAACTGAAACACTGCCACCATGTGGGCTGTTTATAATCAGGGTGGGCTTTAAGAGCTTTACCATGCCTATTGCATTTGAATAGGAATAGAGTCCTATGAATTCTGTGCTGGTTGTAAGAGGCAACTAAATGGATCAGGTGTTGAAGCTCTTTCAAGTTAATTGCATGTCATCTTATCCCACTTGCAAATATCGATGCTCATAATGTCAATCACTGGATTGTCTGGTCCTGACTTGATTATCCATCATGTAGCTGGAATGGTGCTGCATTAAACAACAAACAAAATGTTTATGAATAGATATCAATGAAGTAACCAGACATCCATAATTTGTCCTGTCCCTTTCAGAGAATATGTGATAAGCTGTATGGCATCCACAAGGTCCATGGCAACTATGCCCGTGTGTTCAGCGAGTGGAGTGGGATAGAGAAGGACATTGCAGAGGCCTTGCAGAGCAGCGGACACTACATGGATGTGTGAGTCACCAGGCCTCTGTGTGGACAGAGTTTTCTAAATGGATACGGGCGGTCGGGTAGCCTAGTGGTTAAAGCGTTCGCTCGTCACGCCGAAGACCCGGGTTCGAATCCCGACATGGGTAAAATGTGTGAAGCCCATTTCTGGTGTCCCCCGCCGTGATATTGCTGGAATATTGCTAAAAGCGGCGTAAAACCAAACTCACTCACTCACTCTAAATGGATACTGTAAATCATGAAGTTACTGCATCACCAAATCAATACAAAGGTCTACCCCTATGCTAAAATGTGTCATGAAATTAATGCAAGTGGCGTTGAAATTTAAACTCTTCTCAGCAAACAACAACACCTGTATCAAGTTTTTGAAAGTCATTTAGAAGTGATACACATAAGGAAGAGAGTTTATTGTTGTCAACTTCTTTATTATGAGGAACACAACATTTTGGAGTATATACTTACTCCTTCATCAGGCTAAAATGTTCACCTGATGAAGGAGGAGGTATACACTCCGAAACATTGTGTTCCCCATTATAAAGAAGTTGCTATCCATAAACTCTCGTCCTAATAACACCTGTAGATTTAGAAGTAACAGCTAGACGTGGACTGTGTTATGTATTTTCCATGACTGCTGTTACTGGACATTTTCGCACCATGGGTGAGCTGTGGTTTGCATGTGGTTGTGACGTTATTATACCCCTACCTTTTAGGTCGGGGGTATATAGTTATACCAAGGTTCTGTCCGTCCGTCCGAAAACTTTGTCCGTGCGATTTCTCTTAAACTATTCAGTGGATTCATCTCAAACTTAGTACATATAATCTGTGTCATATGGAGGGATGCAGTCAAAAGAAAACTACTGACACACTAGGCAGGTCGGGGGTATCAGTGAGCCACGCTCACTTTTGCCCTTGTCTGACAAGGTTTCTTCATGAAAAAAGAAGCTGTCACGTACACAGTTGGCAAATGTCACTTGACAGTGTGTGTGGTGAGAAGGTCATTGTTTGTTGGGTGCCTTGTTCTGTATGTCATAGTTTCTATCATGCAGTGAACTGGACGTGACAATAAACTTAATATGTCCAGGTAAAGTAGCGTCACTTTATCAATGCAAACAAGGGAGAATCGAAGAGACAGTTGCATTTTTCGCATTAATTTCATGATTTACAATACATTATATGAACAGTAGGTCATACACAGTCTCTTATACCATGGGTAGGGAGTATTGTCTGCAAACAGCGAATATACAGCTGTATACTGGCAGCGTTTCAAATATCAGAATTGAATAGACAAGTGGTTGGCAGTATGAGCACAATGGCACACATCAAGCCAGGTTCGACATGAATAGTTTCTCTCAACACGGAATCATTCATGAAATTTGTGAAAGAGGATTTTTCAATCACATGTTCACTTCAACGAATTTGTGCCACACAGGCATGGTTTCTATTCCTGTCCTCCTGTTATTAACTGTTGTCTTAAAACATTCCAGTAGATCATACAGATGGTATAGCTGGTGTGGTTCTGAGTATGGTACACCATAGTTTGAAGGTGTTATGACTTTGTTTATGTCTGTTTTCACAATTTTTATGTAACATTTCTAACCCATTCATCATGTTCATGTTCCGTGATTTCAAACAAATGATCCATCACTAATTGGTAACCAATGCTCAGAAGGCAGATATACACAGGATTTATGTAGGAAGACACTGCAACATACGCTTGTGTGTTGACAGCTATGCATCTTCAGTGGACGCCACGCTGGAGGAGGAAGAGCAGTATGCGGACCAACTCAAGGAATATTTGGCATTTGGAGAAGCTCTCCGGTAAGTCTTCAAACTTCTTGGGGGGCACAGGTTGCTGAGTTCGCTGACATTTCTATCTTTGTCAGCACCATAGCCATGCTCATGGGTTTCACCAGAGTGGTAAGCGTCGAATACCTGCATTACTGCAATCTTTCCTCCCACATCAAGCTGACACACTGTGATATATCTGCAACACTGTTCAAAGCTTTGTTAAACCAAACTCAATCACCCACTCACATAAAATCAACTACAGAAAGTTCTGAAAAATTATATTCAACAGTCTGTTCTCATATATGTAATCTTTACCAATAAATGTAGATTTACTTTGAAAATATATACACAGGGCCAGACTGATTTCTTGTTATAAATATTTTCTTGGTCCATGTGCCAAAAGGTGGAATAAGAAAAGTGTCGGTGTTGAGTTGATTAATTTCCTTAAAAAAAATACATGTAGTTTTCAAAAAGATGTCTAAGAAGGCATACTTTTCGTGCAGCACAGAATGTTTTCCATTGTGAAAATTAGGGTAAACTAACAACAAACTGTCAGTAAAAGCAAGAAAATACATTGATTTGGCCAAATCCATATAAAATCATATGACGTCAATACTATTGTAACATTTGCATATTTTGTGTAGGTCTGTATGTCGGAAGTACGAATGTGTTCAATACGACTTGGAGAGAGCAGAGGACAACTTGTCCTATAAGGCCAGTCAGAAGGACTTGTTGGTGAGTAGTACTCTGTTATACAGGTGTTCGTTGATAAGCCATACTTATGGCACAGTTTGTTTGTTGTTTAACGCCGCACTCAGCAATATTCCAGCTATGTGACAGCGGTTTGTAAAAAATCAAGTCTAGACATGAGCATCGATCCACGCAATTGTGATAAGATGACATGCATCAACCAAGTCAGCGAGCCTGACCACTGTATCCTGTTAGTCTCCTCTTACGACAAGCATAGTCGCTTTTTACGACAAGCATGGGTTGCTGAAGACCTATTCTAACCTGGCACTTCAGGAGTCACTCAATACATGGAACTCACAGCACTCATGACACAGAACAACACTCGAAATATCAAGTCTTGAATGATAAGCGGACAAGCTGTATACTTGGTTTGATGTCATCCTGGTCCGTCAATAGGTCATGTATAGGAGTAAACGTTTCAATTTTGATCATGTGATGAATTATGATTGCTGTTGTAGATGTATCTTTGAGTCCCAGTTACCAATGTTCCTGCAGGTCCAAGGTAAGGCAGCAGGCAGTTTCTCACTGAGTGGGATGAAGACAAAGCTGTTTGGCAGTGACACTCCAGAACAGAGAGATGTGAAGATCAAACAGCTGGAGGAGCAGATCGTCCAGGCTGAGGTGGAACTGAGACAAACACAGGAGGAGACACAGTATGTCCTGACACATCTGGGTTAAATCGAGGCATGGTCAAAGGGAGACTACTCTACACAATAACTGTTAAATTGTCTCCCCTTTGACCATCATTCACGATGAGTGTTGCACTGTTTTAGAAATTGATAGTTACCCTGTATGAAAATGTAAGTTACAGACCAATGAATTATGATGAAAATTATGTTTTTTTCTCTCCAGGAAATTTGTTGAGGCAGCATTGAGAGATATTGACAGATTCAAGAGACAGAAGGTGAAGGATCTAAAAGAAATCTTCACTAACTATGCTATCATGCAAATAAAACAATGTAAAAAGGTAAGTCCCACTGACACAAACAGTTTCTGTCAATATTGTTATTGTTTGATGCAAGGTAATATTTAATTTACATTTAAAAATAAATGAATTCCCGAATGATAACATTCTCTGTGTCATATCATATACAATTCTCTATGTAAAAAAGAAATATAAATATATATCCAATTGAGATTATTTAATTTATTGTTGAATAAAATTTGTTGCACATGACCACGCACATTTAGCCTTACATGCATCATCTGTACAGATGGCAATGATACCTATTGTACGGAAAAAACATTGTATCTTATCATGATATTAACCTTAATGTGGTGTACTTTGCATGCTTTTTAGGAATGTTTAACTTGTTCTCGTCCCTGTATTGCTCAGATATTCTCAACTGATTTTTTAGACTCACTCACTCTGTCATGTTGGTTATGTAGGAAAGTTTTTATCAGCTTGCTGACCAAACAAAGGGGTCTTACTGCTATGTCTAAATCAAATCCAGATTTTGTTATAGAATTTAATTTGTTTAGAGTGTGGAACTGACATTGCACTGTCTGACCGGAGATTGATAGCTCAAAGCAATCTTAGCGCTGCTACTATCGTCAGTCTGTGTTTGCGAGCTATAATCGTCTTAGTGCTAAGATCACTTTTTGGAATGGGGCCCAGGTTTTGTCAGCATCTGACCCCTGCTCGTGACAGATATGGCTGAAATGTTCCTCACTATGGCATACAGTAACCACTCACTCACTCACTCACTCACTCACTCACTCACTCACTCACTCACTCACTCACTCACTCACTCACTCACTCACTCACTCACTCACTCGGGTGGTCGGGCTTGCTTACTTAGTTGATGCATGTCAACTTAACCCAATTGATTAGGTCGATGCTCATGATTTCAATCACTGGATTGTCTGGTCCAGACTGAGTTATTTAAGAATGCCGTCATGTAACTGGAATATTGCTGAGTGTGGCGTTTAACAACAAACAAACAAACAAACAAACACTCTCACTCACTCACTCACTCACTCACTCACTCACTCACTCACTCACTCCTTTTATTTTCAGGGTATTGCAATATGGACAAGCGCCAAGGACTGTTTCGGCAAGATGTGATGTTGTTCCTACCAATGAAACACTGTCTGCATTCCTGCTATGTTGTGCTCCTGATGTTGTGCATGACACCTTGCTCCTGGACAACACGCCAGTCTGTCTCATATACTGATCCCACCCACGAACTGTTCCTTCATCAGGGTTCTCACAAATACTAACAATAGCCACATCATTGCTATTTTACCTAACATGGAATATGTCATGTCAGTTTACTTTTGTATCATGCAGTAAAAACATGAAGTTGAAAAAACATCATTTTTGACAATTCATATTCTGAAATCAGAATTGATATTCTTTTATGTCATTCTTTTAGAAACTGTTCATGACCAAGATTCAATGTATTTAGGAAATACATGAAAATAAGTTGATTCAGTGATTTTACCTGAGGTGCTAATAATTGGACATGTTGATGTGAATTTGCATTTATCAGTGTCACACAGCAATGTGACAGTTTTACCTTACTGGGCTAAGATTCCGCAATGTTTCAGTGAATGCTATTGTCCTTGCAACTGCTCAACAAGTAATCATAAGTACTGATAATGCTCCAAAATGTGTGTTGATTTGAGACATAATTATATAGATCTATGATTATCATGACTGTTCATTTCAAGGAATAAGTTTCAATAATGAATCTATTCGTAAATTACACGTTAAAGTAAGAAATTAAGATTTTGTTTTATTGAGCAAAGAGATTGTAATGTTTAAAATTCAATAACTTTGCCATCTAGCATACCGTAAATCCAAGAATTAAATACTACGGTAAGTCACACCATTCCCCAAACGCCAGTGATCAAGTTGACTGTACAGAGAACTGGTCAGAATGACCAGAGACTCTCCAACAATGTCCCAATACCTGAGATAAGTTGCCAGCAATGGAAAACGTATACTATGTGCACAGAGGAAGGGAAGTAAGTTGGGCGTATGATTTTAGACAGATAGGATCCATGTAATGGATTATTACAAGTCTGCTGAAAATATTATTTTCCCCAGGGTTGACAGGCATCAAACACCTGAAAAGCTAATGATGCCATGGTAGTATGTAAGACCCATATGTGTAATAACCTAATGCATTGTCCAACACACACATACTTCAGGCACGATTCTATTTATCTTACACTATGTAGGTGTTAGCCTTATTTATTCAACGTTACAAAGTTGAATAAGACTGTGATAGAATTATTGCTGTAATTGTAAATATAATTTTGAAGATATTGAAAGATTTCATTACAAGATGTTAATTTATGTCTCATTGTCATTTCATAGCATAGAGAGATATGTTCTTTTCTTCATTCATATATCCTCAGTGTAAATATCTGTCGTAATTTTGATTAGCATGATTAGTTATCATACAAATTACTTTAGTAGGCAGACAATCTCATTAAAATCAGATCTTTTACTGCGATATGATGCCTCTCTGTATGAAGATCTGACAACCCCTCACTTTATGATCAGCCAATCAGTGTCGAGACTTCTTTATTCACATGAGTGAGCAAGGTATTCAGACCAGCATATCTGATCTGTATCTCGGAAATGAACTCACATGACCAGTTCCAAATGGAAATAATAGAGGCTGTATAGAGAGGCATTTTAGTTAGCCAATCAGTGTCGAGACTTTTTTATTCACATGAGTGAGCAAGTTATTCAGACCAGCATATCTGATCTGCATCTCGGAAATGAACTTACTTGACCAGTCCCAAATGGAAATAATAAAGACTGTACATTAAATTGTTGTGGATGTTTTATACACTCTGATCCATTTCTGATTGCCATTTTTATCTACACCCTCAAATGAATATTTGTATTCTGTGTGGGTTTCCTTTGGGTAGTCTATTCGGAATCAAAATGGTAAAAATTATTTTCGAAAGCTGACGTCTGAATGGGTCAAAGCTCGCTCATGATTCATCTGACACAACCACCATGGAGGTGTCCTCAGATCTAGACGCAGACGGGTATCAATTACAGTAAAGATCTGATATTAATAAGATTGGGTAAAATGGTCACCATGGTGAATGAAATCGGTAACTGGAACCAAAACCTACTTCTTACCCCTGTGCAGATACTGCCTGACAATTTACCATCAGTGAAGTACTCAGTCCGTCTGTTTAATGTGGAAATGAGCACAGGAAAGAGATGAATGTGATATGTTGTATGTTTCTCATGTCACTCAAATCAAAATGTCAGTCTAGTACATGAAGGAGGCAATGGAACTATCAGCATTAACATATGCTGACTTTACAGATGGCACTGTGTAGCACCGTTAGATGAAGTTGTATAATAGAGAAGTCTGTTCATTCATCTCAATTCTATATATTTGTGTGAAGTGTTATTATTGATTTAGTTTATCATCTTCCCCAAGCAAGGGAGTTAACGGCCTATAAAAGTTCAATTTCCACATTTGCCGAACTAGGCTGGAATTTCTGGGCTCGATTGTGGTGCCACCAGTGGTTATTACAAGTTGTGTCCCTTCTATGCCTCTCCTATTGGCCAATCAGATTCCACCTCTCGTATCACTTGCATTTACTTCAAACAAAATGGCGGCGCCCAGTCAAGACAATCTGATGAATAATCAAGATCTTTATTGTGACAATACAGGTCTTACATGGCAAAGTGCATCAAATCAAGTGAGCACCTTGTTTAAAAACATGAAAACATTTGGAAAATATCTACTGGCGCCAAGTTGGTGTAGCACATCCTTTGTAGATCTTGCAATCGACCGAAATCTGCACGACAGTTTACAAACTGGATTTCGATTTCGTCACGCGAATTTGATTGGACTATGCATAAACTTGTTAGTCCAGTTAAAATATAACTCCATAATACCAGCCTAGTTCGGCAAGGGTGGAAACTGGACTTTTAAAGTCAGTTAACTCACTTGTCTCGGGAAGATGTTAGTTCTTATACTGTAGAGGACATATGTGTTCACAAGTTAATCACAACAGTAACGAAATACTCAAAAACCTAAGAATTACCCCTTCAGTTATTCCAAGGTAAGTGTGCAATACAAAGTGTCACAAGCGTACCTACATGTATAAGATAATCAGCGCCTGACCTCAAGCAGACTGTTGCATTATGGGTGTCCACTGTCCAGTGTCCGTCCACATGTCATGCTGGTTTGTAAATCTTAAATAACACTACACAAAATGGCTGGTGTCCTGCTAGTTTGTAAATCCTAAATAACACTACACAAAATGGCTGGTGTCTTGCTTCTGTGAAACATGTCCTGCTGGTTTGTAAATCCTAAATAATACCACACAAAATGGCTGGTGTCCTGCTAGTTTGTAAATCCTAAATAATACTACACAAAATGGCTGGTGTCCTGCTTCGGTGACACTGAACTCATCCGGATAACTGGCTGAGGAGCAGTTTACACAAGCAGTTTACAGCCATGACTTGAGACACCAAGTGTTAGTCTCTCACAACTATTCGGTACACAACCACGTGAGAATCGAACTGTGCCCGAAGTGACTGGAACTAGAAGCGTCTCTGGCTCAAAACATCAGGTTTCAAACAGCCTAAATATAATAAAAATAGCAAAGTACCATCCAAACTTTTTCGTTCGACAGTATTTCACATCTGATTCACTTAATCCAATGTACATGATTCCCCATTTTTCTTTTTCATATATTGATCATGTTGCTGAATGCATGCAGCTGAATATTTTGTCGTCAATGTCACAAACCAAAATTATGATCTATGATTTAGAGAAGTGGTTATATTTGTTTCAGTTGGATGCTTGGACATGAATTAGCCATGACATTCACTTTCAGCTGTACATATTCATGTCAAGTGTTAACTGTACATCTGTTTGCATGATACAAGCCCAATAGCTTTTGACTGTGCAGCAGTGACTGTTTTTATCAGTGAAACACCACTCAGCCTTGTCCCTTCAGCTTGATGTGAATGCCAGTGAACATGCAATAGACAGATCCGTGTCAGACAAGCATTACTTTATATAGAGAATCTCACCCTCGTGTCTTTTGATATCAAATATATCAACATGAGTTGATAAAAGTGGAAAAATTCCGAGGCTTGCCGAGGATTTTTGCCACTTTATCAACGAGTGTTGATATATTTGATATCAAAAGACACGAGGGTGAGATTTTATTTATCATCCAACATCATTCTTTCAACTTTTTCATTTTGTAGACAGTAATTAGCAGTGTCTTCAGTGTAAAAAGTACTGCAAACAGCTTCAGTAGCAGAGCCATTAGTGATGTCATGTGATTGTGACGTCATGGTAACCAGTGACGTCACAATGGTCTGCAAAGCATTGTGATGTAATTTCATTGCAGCGATATCTACAGTGTAGATATCGCTTGATCTCATCCAAGCGATATCTCCTGTGGGAGCCAGTTTTGGATGATAAAACATGGTCCTAACATTACACCTCCGCGTGAATAACAGCTGTTATACCTGGATGCTGTATATGCACGTATGTTACACTGGTGTTAGCTTTATTATTATTAATACACGATGGTGTATTCCAGCTCATCTCGTCACATTAGTGATACTGGCCCAGCCACTTGATTGCAGCATGAGTAACAAATATACCAGTATATACTCAGAACAAGTTAAAGATCACCCTCAGTAGGAAGGCTGTTTGTTGCATTACCCACCAGATTACACATTACAAAAGTCATATGAAAAATGGGTGTTCTTAACTTCTTTTGAGATGTATACATGGCTGTTATTGGGTAATGTTTGGCTTCTGAATCAATCTGTTTTGTCATGAGAAACTTATTTATGTATATTTGCTGCTAGTGTTTGTATGTGGCATTGTTTTGATGAAATGACCGTTTAAGGCTTGGGTAAAATGGGTAAATCTTGTATTATTTTTGGGAAATATGAGAAAGTATTTCCTCGGATCTTGTCAGAAGACCCAGTTGCTAGGTGAAGATGCACTGATGTTTTATCATCCTTGTTTAGATTATTACTCTTGCGTGGAGTATTTTTATATTGTATAGGATTAAGTTTATTTGTTATGTAATGTACATTGGTTTGTGAAGAGTAATCATGACTATAATTGGTGTATGATTTGTCATGTTTGTCTGTGTAATAAATCTGTTGTTGTGTTTCATAATTTGTTATTTCAATTTCCTCTCAAGATACTATTCACAGGGAATTTGGAATGTGAGTTTATGGAGTTATATTCCATTTTCAAGTCATGTCTCAGCGTTGTATATTACATCAAGAATGAATGAGAAAATATCGCCTGTGCCTTAGCCTAAATGTATCCATTTTCTCTGGGACCATGATACAATCCGCCTTAAGGATGGTAGCAGGCAGCAGACTTTTACTAATACAATGTCAGAAATGTGGAAGACATTTTCAAAATGGCTGACCACAATGGCTTGTTGGGTGTTGAACACTTCTTGAAAAGGCTTAACACTATTTCTTCTAAGTAGTCTGGTAACTCAGTCTATTGCTGAACTAGTGAAAATGTGAACTACTCTGCTAGTGCAAATCCCCATCAAGAACAGGACACCTGTGGGAGTAGAACCTGTGGACCTGTGAAGATTCCGGGGTAGAATAGTCTTCAGCAACCCATACTTGCCATAAAAGGGGACTATGCTTGTCATAAAAGGCGACTAACAGGATCGGGTGGTCAGGCTCGCTGACTTGGTTGATACATGTCATCGATCCCAATTGCGTGGATCGATGCTCATGATGTCAATCACTGGATTGTCTGGTCGAGACTCAATTATTTTACAGACCGCCGTCATATAGCTGGAATATTGCTGAGTGCGATGTTAAACAACAAACAAAACAAACAAAGAACCTGTGAAAGCTGGTGAAAGCACTAACCACTGTGCTACCCACCTCCGCATCAAGAGGACCGCCTCCCTCGTCTAGTGGTAAAGCGTCCACCCGAAGAGCAGAAGTGGTGGTTCAATCTCCAGCCATGTCATACCAAAAGACGTTAGGTACTTATTTTTGCCCTTCCTGCACACATGTGCGCATGCACATCACTATATAAGATAAGTGCAATAACCTTGAATGCGACATTAACCCCATTTCACCTCACCAGTGGGCTACCACTTTAAAATTGGCATTAGTCGGGACTAGTACAAGCAGCCACACAAACACACACATGTTGCTATATAAGTGCAATAATGCAACGTTAAACCCATTTCACCTCGCCTCAAGAACAGGACACACCAGTGGAAATCATAGGCTTCTTTATTGACAATGGTCATCTGTTGTAATATACATCCTGCAGCTAATGTAACAACTAGTTAAATATCTGATATAACTCATATCCTCTCGTTCAAAGTCTTAATAGAGCACAAGAAGGAAGTTCTCAAGCAATGCCCTTAGATAATAATTCAAGCAGTTAAATCTTTTTGTAATACCAATGATGAGTGAGTGAGTATTGTTCTACGCCGCCTTAAGCAATATTCCAGCAATATAACGTCGGGTTACACCAGAAATGGGCTTCACACATTGTACCCATGTGGGGAATCGAACCTTGGTCTTCGGTGTGACGAGTGAACACTTTAACCACCCACTGCCAACCAGTGATGAAAAGGGGTCCATGACAATAATTTTAATCTTACAGTGATAAATGAAGACCCCTGACACTTTTTTTTCTACCAGTGTCATGTTTACTATTTTATTTTGTAAGTAAATAATTCCTGCTAAGTATCCAATATATATAGGGGCGATGGGGTAGCCTAGTGGTTAAAGCGTTCACTCGTCAAGCCGAAGACCCAGGTTTGATTCCCTACATGGGTACAATGTGTGAAGCCCATTTTCTGGTGTCCCCTGCCGTGATAGTGCTGGAATAGTGCTAAAAGTGGTGTAAAACAATAATCACCCACCCCCATTCTAAATATCTACCATTTCTTGAAGCACAATAATCAGGGCAGGGAAACAACAGATGTAGATAATCGTAACAACCAATCAATAAATAACGATAGAGTTGTGTTTCCACCACCTCACAAATAATATATTTCCATGATCACATCATTTGGTAAATACCGTATCACATTCAAAAAGTATATGAATATACTCAACAAAAAAGCTGAATGTTTAGTATGCATGGAAATTTGTGCATGGTACAGTGCAACAAGAAGTCTTGACAAGTTGGGAATACAACACCTGCCTCCTAATGCCAGGCCTGAACACGGAACAATGAACACGACCTGGGTAAACCATATACCTGTGACAACCGAGGCTCCCCCAAGTGCCAAGTGGTCTTGGTCGTCTCTGGTCATGTCGTACATGCTCCATACATTGAGCATCCAGGATCTATCAGAAACTTTTCTAGAGGGGCTTATGAGAGACTCTTATTTCTACGGTGTCCCATACCCGCCACTGGTGAGGTCTTTTTTCACTGTATGCCTCTATATGTTACTTTTCTGGCAGCCGCCAGATACTTCCACTGGTGAAATAAGATATAGAGGTTCACAGGGGAAAATGATCTCACCAGTGGAAGTATCTGGCGGCTGCCAAAAAAGTATTTGGCGGCCGCCAGATAAAATATAGAGGCATACAATGAAAAATGATCTCACCAGTGGAAGTATCTGGCGGCTGCCAAAAAAGTATTTGGCGGCCGCCAGATAAAATATAGAGGCATACAGTGAAAAATGATCTCACCAGTGGCGGGTATGGGCCACCGTATATTTCCACCTTGTTAACTGAATACTTGATTGTAGCTTGGCGCTAGTATGTTCATGATGGTTCGATGAACTACGATTATATCAATCACCCTTATAACGAACTGGCCGATGTAACAAACTGTTTTTTGTCCCGGCCATTTGCTGTGTATATGATGTGTATATGCTCATAACGAACAACAGTTATAACAAACTAAAATTTGTTATAACCGTAGCTTACTGTACATGCAAAGTGGTAGGACTGGTAGGTTTAAGCAGTAAAACCAGCAGATGTGCAAACAAATATCATATCTTAATTATGATCATGTGAATAATCAGTGTTCCCTCGCTTGAACTTTGGTGCAGTTTTGCACAGAAATATATCGTGCATTCGTTACTCTGTCTCACATTTTACAGTGCATTGTCATCTCCATCCTTTTCCCACTACACTTGCCAACTTGGATTCCGATGTAAGTCAGTGAGTGAATGAGTATGGTTTTACACCGCTTTTAGCAATATTCCAGCAATATCACGGCGGGGGGACACCAAAATGGGCTTCACACGTTGTACCCATGTCGGGAATCGAACCCGGGTCTTTGGCGTGACGAGCGAACGCTTCAACCACTAGGCTACCCGACCGACCCTCGATGTAAGTAACTGGACGGATGAGAATGCTATGGTCTGTCATCACTTCTGAAATTAGAATACAGCTGGAGGCTGATGACTTAGATCATGTGGGGTATGTTTAAACAAAGGAAACACAACACGATCGATGGACTGCTCCGCACCTGCATACTCTCCATGCACAGTGTGCTGTGCTTAGTAAGGGGGAGAGAACTCACGATAGGATATAAATTTACTGCAGCTGGAAAAAGGGTTTTGGAAGTAGGTGTCTCTTATATGCCAATAATGTTGCTCAGTCTATTATTCAATTGCCAACCCCAAAAACTTAGATAGAATCTTGTGCTGCCGCAATTTGCTGTGCAGAGTTGCATCCCTTGGGCATGCCAGAAACACATGATCGTGTGTTCGAATCCTGGTTCGCCCGATTATGTTTCTAGGTTTGTCAGCACCATACCCGTGCTCATGGGTTTCACTGAAGTGGTAAACGTCTGAGACCTGCATCACTTCAGGCTTTCCTCCCACATTAAGCTGACATGCCACGATATAACTGTAATACTGTTAAAAGGGGTCTTAAACCCAACTCACTCACTCACTAACGCAAGTGAATGCCATCAACATTCGGCTACTTGGGGGTGGAATAAGGATTTGGAAACTGTTTTAAGGAATATTTTACGTCTGTTTCAAAAACTTCTGTCAACAATGATCAATACAAATCCCTCCGACAGATGTGTTTGTGAGACCGTAGGTATCAGTGGGTACACTTCGAAAGATGGTCATAATGATACTCATTCCCTCACACCTACTTCTGACCAACAAATCTACCACATCCTACCTATTCTGTACCTATCAACTCATCACATCGCAATACCTCCAACTCAGCTGTGTTCACCATTGAATACAAAAAATAGTGGAAATACAAGCTGCACACACATGTACATGGGGTCAGTGTGTAAGTGACAAAGGCTAAACACGCATTATCATCACCCTATATGTGAATATAAACGTACAAATTTGTGACAACAGTCGTCAGCAATGCACTGTTTAGTCTATTCTAAAAATATATTATACATCATATTTACAATTTACATGAAGAACTTATGGTCACCTTGAATACACATATATATTACAGAGTACAGTTGGTATGTATATAGTTCACATATATATTACAGAGTACAGTTGGTATGTATATAGTTCACAGTACATATAGTTATGGCAGGAAATAGAACATTGTCTACAGTCTGTAAGCTTGACTGGTGTGATTGTATCAGACTTAAACAAGAAACTTGTTAAAATTTATGAAAAAATGTTTCAATTTTTTTTAACCCTCACAATCAATCAGCAATTTAAAAAATGTCCACTATTTTACCTTGATGTGAAATGTTTAAGAAACAATGTTAATCTACGTAACCTGAAACATGGGTAATTTGTTGTGTCCTTAATTAGGCACATTTTATACCAGTTGGTCAGATATTGCGAAAATAAATACTTTTGTCAGCATATCTGATAGCTTAATGGTTCCTCCAAACAGTATATCTATCAAAATTATCTTATCACTACCTAATGTTCTTTGTTTCATCAATATGCTTACTATTGTCAGTTCTTGTAAATCACTGGTCTCTCGAAGTCAAGCCAACAGACCATGTTTACATTCAGGGCATGAAAAGCAATAACATAAATACTGTTATGTATAAGATTATAGATGTGTAAACATATTGGTATCACAGCTAGCATAAAACTGTCCATGCAACACAATGGACAAACAAGTCAGACACAAAGTTTCTACACGCTAATATTATCACAGTTTGTTGGGTAATAAAATATGGTTCAATATAAATGGATACACCTTGTGTCTTAGATATAGGAATATAAAGTGCTCTTCAATAAAGTGCAGTTTTTATCGTTTTGATCATGTCACAACAGTGGTTATACAACATATGGAATGATAGCTTGTTTTCTTAAAAGCTATATATGATATTAATGAAGACATATTTAATGTAACTAGATTCAGATTCGTCTGAAATAGGAACAAACAGTATGATTGGAATATTAACTCACAAGAATACATTTTATAATTCTTTTGATGGATAATGAATAGCTTATATGTTGATTTATACAGGTAAATACTGGTCAAATTATCTGGATATTTCCTGAATTTTATTGCAACCAATACCACTTTGCAAACAACTGTTTAGATTAAGCACAAATAACTGCCCATCACGAAAACATTTTGCAATTTAAATTTTACAATGAAAACATGACTTGCTAAGAGACATTTATAGCTCAATTGTTGGGTGACAGTTTCTCAAAACTAGGCCAGAACATCAAATCTAAAAACAAATGTTCAATGTCATGCTTGTTACAAGTCATATTATCCTTTTGTCAGTATCACATATTGAATATTGACAGGGTTTTAAGCTTGAACAGAAAGACATGTTTCTCTCAATGGAATCTATGTTCATAACATATTTATCTTTCTAACAACATATAAAAGTATATTAATCTTTAAAAGTGCATTTGGTTCTATTTAAAATAACCTATAATACAAAGCTATCTGCCTTTCTACTGACACAAGTCTTGTTATAAGAACCACAGCCTATCTAAGGCTCTTGTTTCTAAAATATGTGTAGAAAAATATCATAAAGACAACTGTCAACTGGTCCCCATGCCCAAGTGTATAGGTATAAATGCAGGTTAAGTCCATATTTACAGTGAATTAATTTGAAAACTTGATTTCATAACCCTTCTTGTGAAATAATGCATAACCTTTCAGCAGCACTCACAGTAACTTCAAACAACTGAACATCGAGCAGGATGACTTTGTAAATCATTTTAAGTATCTTTGGAAATTCTGAAAAATGAGGAGACAAAATGGCCTGTCCTTAGTATGTGTTTTAAAATAAATGTTCCTAGGTGTTACAGATCTGGACCCACTTGCACAAAGCGATCGTAGCGCTAAGATGATCGTAACTCCCATACTTTAACATAGGCTTACAATAGTCTTAGCGCTAAGATCGCTTTGTGCAAGTGGGCCCTGGAGTAATTCTGAGTTACAATACAAGTATTCGATTTCTTAATGACTTGAAAGGAATACTTAAACCTTTGTCACCAACATAAGCAAGGAATAAATTGTTTGGATAATAGCAAAGACATAGGAATATTCTCAATGTCATTTGTGTAGACTGGCCATTTTCAGAATATAATCAGTAAAATGTGAATGAAGTGTGCAACAGCAGACAGTGTTTCAAAACCTTGAAATAAGTTGTCTCCCCTTACAAAATCAGCCTCCCATTACTCAAACAAAGACATCTACCATTAACTGCACATTCAATCATCCAATCAAGACTCAATCAATATTTTCATCACATTCTTTTCTCTACTTCCTGTAAAAGCAAGATATACCAGCTGTCAGAGAGAGAGGGTTTTTCTGTACATTGCTCTCATTACCCAGTATATCAGTCAGACAAGCAGTGCAGAAACTACCGATATGTTATAGCACTTATGTATTATCACATTTAAGAGCACTCACCTCCTGTGTATATTTCCTTCGAAAACAAGAAAACAATAATATGTAAATTCCAGGGGATTCCTTCAAATACTGATAAGCAGTCGGAAAAATAGAATTATCTCCCCTTAGTTAAGACGCAACAAGCTCCTCACAGCGATAGTCCGTTCGCGGAGCTCTCTGTACTATCGCTGCCACCAGTCAAAACTACCCACTGTGATAGGTGGCCCCAACCATGCTTGGCGTTGAACTCGCAACTGAATGACCGTTATGTTTACAAACAAGTGACGACCGTCGTGACGCCGAATACACTTACCGCTGATAAATTACTTTCTTTGTTTGTCAATTTGAATTTCTATTTCATTAAAAGTATCATCTTTAATTGATATAGTAAGAATGTAAGGGAGAAGTTGGCTGATTTTCCGTTAGTCTGCAATCTCGAACCAATCTGATTATTTAAACAACAAAGTAAATTCATCTGGAAAACATGGTCAGTCGTTAACCTTTTCATGAATATGATGGCATTTCCAAAGACATAAACAAAAGTATAAACGTTACTACATATGGGGTTAGAGGGCAAATTTCAAGATTCTTGTAATGGCTGCGCCCACACTGGTGGCAGCGACGTTACTGAGAGTGTAATGAAGGTGTCACGCGCTGGGAAGGAGCTTGAAGACGCAAATTGAAATGCATCCACACTTCTTCACAGCCGTGGCTTGTTTTGGACAGATACTTGAGACAGTCGGTGTCACTGAACATGATATATACAAATCCAATCAGTGTTCTTTATACAAATATACTGGCAATGGTAAGACACCCGTCAAAACTAAGTCACATTTGCCAACATGTGTTATTTGATCATTTCAACACATCACAAGGAATGTAGTTTACTAAATTTATTCTTCCTTGGCTTTCCTCTTCTCCTTCATTCTGGTATAAGTGTCGAGATTCTGCCGAGCCTGTGTCTCCAGCTCCTTCCGGCGTTCCCGCTTGGCCTCGGAGATGCCGGTGCTGTCCAGGAGTTGGGTCATGTCCCCCCCAGCCAGGATCCAGGGGTGTGACAGGACGTCCACCGCCGTGTAGCGCCGCTTCTTGTCCACCACCAGGAGGTGCTGGATCATGTCCTTGGCAGCTGGAGGCAGAGCGCATGGATCACAAAATATATCTAGTTTTCTTTAAATATACGTAAAGTAATGGCAGCTTTTCTTATTTCTTGCAACAAAAGTGTACCAGCTCAAATTTTTAAAAGTGTAAAAAAGACATAGTATTGCAATAGTTGTCAACTACTAGCAATAGCATTGCGATGGTAGTAATTAACTGTAAGGCTTGATGATTATATTAATCAATGTAATAGAAATGAATATGGTATTGTTGACAATCTCATTTTCTTACGTCCTCTGTTCACTGCTGCTTTGGTGCCAATTTCATGAATATTCTTTTTGTGCTTGAATTGTAGGGTTCTGAGTTATATCAAAGTAATAATAAACCAACATTTTTTTAGAAGTGATAAGTGAGTTTGGTTTTACACCACTTTTAGCAATATTCCAGCAATATCATGGGGGTGGGGAGACACCAGAAATGGGCTCCACACATTGTACCCATGTCGGGAATCGAACCTGTGTCTTCGGCGTGGCGAGCGAACGCTTTAACCACAAGGCTACCCGACCGCCCCTTTTTTGAGAAGACAAAATAAGAATGAAAGGTCTGTCATGTTTTTTTACTAAATTTTGAATGATGACTAATTCAAGACCATATTTTGATAAAACTGAAGTAGTTTTGGAGGGGATCAATTAACCACTCCATTCATACTTGTTCTCACAGCGGCACAAAAGCAGATACATATAGGGTGCTATATACCATAAGAGGGCACCCTCTTACAGCTGCAGGAACATCTGTTTTTATCAATTTCAATGTCATATTTTTTCCCTGACTTTATTTTATCTGATATGAAGTACAACTTTATCACTGACCATACGAACATATATTGCATTAGAAGAAGTACTTTAGGATATGCAGGATACTTATCTTAGCTGTTGTTAGTACAAAGACATCAAATTATACTATAGACACTTATGTAGTACAACGTCAGGTCTCATGTCAGGTAAGCAGTGCACATCAGGATGTCGACAATCGCAATATGTTAGTTTGGTCCTTAATTTCAGACAGGAAAGGTCTTCAATCAAATAGTCACTGTGCATGTTGACAATCCATTTTGAAGATAATTTTATTTGTATAAACTGATTTCAGATCTATAATAGTCTGACAATTCAATAGGACAAGGTATAACAAATAATTAGGTTCCATTCTGTGACCGATCCTACAGGGAAGCGCCAAAATGTTAATGTCAAGGGTAGCCGTGTTATAAAAGGCATGAAATGTTTACTAAATGTCCATGGAATTGAAGCTGACGTTGAGAGAGCTGATTGGTTGAGGACTTGCACTCACCGTCGGAGATGTAATCCCAGTATGGAGAGAGGAACTCGTATACCCCCGCCTTGATGAACTCAAACAGCTCCGTCTGGTTGCGGTCGGGACTCCGGAAGGGAGGGAAGCCACACAGCAGAATGTAGGAGATGACGCCCACTGCCCACATGTCAACCTCCAGACCATAGCCTGCAGAAACACACCTACATCAGCAACAGCAGTGACACATGCTACAACAGCAGCATCAACATACACACCAGTAGCAACAGCAGCAACACATGCTACAACAGCAGCAAGACACACCAGTAACAACAGCAGCAACACATGCTACAACAGCAGCAAGACACAACAGCAGCAACACATGCTACAACAGCAGCATCAACATACACATCAGTAGCAACAGCAGTGACACACGCTACAACAGCAGCAACAGAAAAACCAGTAGCAACAGCAGCGACACACGCTACAACAGCATTATGTAGGAGATGACACCCACTGCCCACATGTCAACCTCCAGACCATAGCCTGCACAAACACACCTACATCAGCAACAGCAGCGACACATGCTACAACAGCAGCAAGACACACCAGTAACAACAGCAGCAACTGATACACCAGTAACAACAGCAGCAACAGATACACCGGTAACAACAGCAGCAATACAAGCTACAACAGCAGCAACAGACACACCAGTAGCAACAGCAGCAACAGATACACCAGTAACAACAGCAGCAACAGATACACCATTAACAACAGCAGCAACACATACTACAACAGCAGCAACAGACACACCAGAAGCAACAGCAGCGACACAGGCTACAACAGCAGCAACAGACACAACAACAGCACCAACACACACTACAACAGCAGCAACAGACACACCAGTAACAACAGCAGCAACAGATACACTAGTACCAACAGCAGCAACAGATACACCAGTAACAACAGCAGCAACACATGCTACAACAGCAGCAACAGATACACCAGTAACAACAGCAGCAATACATGCTACAACAGCAGCAACAGACACACCAGTAGCAACAGCAGCAACAGATACACCAGTAACAACAGCAGCAACAGATACACCAGTAACAACAGCAGCGACACATGCTACAACAGCAGCAACAGACACACCAGTAGCAACAGCAGCGACACACGCTACAACAGCATTATGTAGGAGATGACGCCCACTGCCCACATGTCAACCTCCAGACCATAGCCTGCACAAACACACCTACATCAGCAACAGCAGCGACACATGCTACAACAGCCGCAACAGACACACCAGTAACAACAGCAGCAACACAGGCTACAACAGCAGCAACAGACACTACAACAGCAGCAACAGACACTACAACAGCAGCAACAGACACAACAACAGCACCAACACACACTACAACAGCAGCAACAGACACAACAACAGCACCAACACACACCAGCAGAAACAGCACTAACACACATAACAGCAGCATCAACATACACATCAACAGCATCAACATACACATCAACAGCATCAACAGGGTTAGAAACTAACAGTTTTAGTCCACTAGTCCTTATAATGATAACATATAGCAAAACCCTTAAAATGGGCCAATTTCTACTAGTCCTTAGGATACCTTTACTATTGGGCAGTTTGGTAAGGACTACACCTAAACCGAAACGTCGCTCCCAATTGTAATAAAGAAGTTGTTAATCCATATATCTTATCCTTACTTAGTACTCCAACTTTTGAATGCCCCTCAAAGAAGTTCAAGAACCTACACCGAAACATCACTCCTAATTGTAATAAAGAAGTTGTTCCTCCATATATCTTATCCTTACTTAAAAATCCAAGGCATTAAATAAGTTCTTTGCAAGTATTTTGCAGGGCCACTGAATAGTTTCAAAGTGAGAGAGTGTGTGAGAGTCCTTGACGACTCATGATCCATACATTTCAATTTAAGTTTTGTGACAAGTATGTATACATGAACTCACACCAAAGTAAAGGTTTCATTTGTTTTGCCAGTATGATCTTTTCAAAGTAAATTATGTGCAATGTTATCTGCTGATTAATCCCAGTCACATCTGTTACTGTACCAGGCACTATCATTGTAGGTCTTAGAAGTCTATTGTCTTCAGTGATATGACTAGACCATCAAGCTTTGCCAGTGTAGCTTGGATTTAACAACATCACCGGCCTGTGCCACGTCTCTCAGCCATCAGTCTATGTGCCATGTCTCTCAGCCATCAGTCTATGTGCCATGTCTATCAGCCATCAGTCTATGTGCTGTGTCTCTCAGCCATCAGTCTATGTGCCATGTCTATCAGCTGTTTGTTTTCTGCTGAATAAGCCCTTCTCCCAGGCACATCATGATCTGAAGGGTTGAGTTGGGCAGTTTGCCTAGAGTCTAGGTCAGCCAATACGCAGTAATATATGCTAGATAACACACAGGTCTGGCCACATAATGCCTATCCCCATATCTAATGCCATGTTTTCACATACGTATTCACATACATATTCACATACACATATTTATTGATTGATATTCACATATTTATTCACATACTCATTCACACACATATTCACATTCATATTCACAAACCTATTCACATTTATATTTACATACATATTCACATTCATATTCACAAATTTCTTCACATTCTTATACACATACAAACATTGTATTCACATACATATTCACCTTCATATTCACATGCTTATTCACATAGAAATTCACATTCATATTCACAAACCTATTCACATACATATTGACCTACTTATTCCCATAAATGTTCACATACCTATCTCTGACAGTATTTCTGGTGCTACGTATGTTGGCGTCCCGCAAACTGTGTAGATGAGTTCCTTCACATCCATCGCCAGCCCGAAATCAGCCAGTTTTAACGTAATTGTCCCGTCTTTGTTTCGATGCACCTGAATTAAGTCACATGTATTGAAAGTTCAACAGTGAAAACTATTACTTACATCAGTTACTACAGAATGATTCTGTAAGACTTCCGCAGAAAACACATCATAAATTAGAATTAGAAACTATACCACATGTGTTTTGGAATTACAAAAATGCGTCCATTTTGGACATGCTTGGAAAGTTGGCCTCTTGAGAAAACAGAATTGAAATCGTTCTTAACAAGGAGAATATACTTCTTGGTTTCCCGGAAAGAAATAATGACCCTGTAAATATTATAGTTATATTTGTTAAAAAAACTCATTTATGAAAATAAACAGCAAAGGCTGCCAACTTTCCAAAATATTCAACCTAAAACTATCATGTAACAAAATGTGCAGCAGTTCTGGTCAACATGTCAAACCTTTTTCATGTCATTGTGAAAATGATCTACATGCAATAAAAATGTAAAGGAAAAAAAGACAAGAATATATATCACACTCCCAGATATTCCTAACATGAAGAGCATTAGAAACTAACTCATTATCACATCAATGACGATTCCAGATTCCAGATTTACCTGATTGTCTATGACTTCAATTTTCCTAAAAGGTCAACGAAACAAAAGATAACACTTTTATTGACTCATATTATCTATATCCTACATCAAGGTACTTGTATATTTACATCATGATCATGCAACATCATGACATATTATTTTATGTACACTTTACCTGTTTTAATTGTGAAACATCCTTGTAAGGAGAGGTGTTCAAATGGACTTTGCCTGTTCACCAATCCCATTCCTCTTTGGAAATCAATATGGATAAAATAAACCTCATAAAGTCGATCTCCTCATCCAGTGATTGAAATGACCACTGAATTTACATCATAAACCAAATTATCTAATGTCACACACTCACTCCAAGGTCAACTCACCAACAGGTTTTCTGGCTTGAGGTCACGGTGTACGATGTTGCGAGAATGGAGGTAGAAGAGCGCATGACAGAGATCCTTGACCATGTTGGCCGAGTCTACTTCCCCAAACTTGACACTCTGGGTGATGGCATCAAACAAATCACCACCCTTAAAAAAATAGTTCCTGGTTAACAATTTATAAATTCTTAATATTTCAGATGAGTGAAAATTGTGTCAGTTATGTGGTTTTATACAAACTCAATGTCTTCATTTGTTCATGTATGATTCTTGTTGGGATGGTGATAATCAAAATTCCTTTGAAATTTTTTTAAAAATTCTGAATCAAGTGGTTTAGCTTTGCTTATTGCTGTAACCATAACTATATGCACCTGACACAACCTTCTACAGAGGTGCCCTCAGATCTTCACTTGGGAAGGTATTTATTAAATGAGATTGCCTTGCATATTAATGTAATAGGCATAATGAAAACACATTGTGACTACATGATTTCATGCAAAGTTTATGCAGGGCAAGATTTATAAAAATTCATTAAAAAATAAAACAGCATGGACAGATATTGTTGAAAAAGAAATGGCCCTTTAATAAATTCAACAACCAACAAGACATATGAACAGGTAATATGTGAATCCTGGCACTGTTTGTGTATCCATTGAACTATAATGTATGATATGAATATTAATTAGTATATAATAAACTGGTATGTCAAGGCCATCTACGGCCCACCAGGGCACTGACTTCACTGTGTGATGACAGCAGCCCCCTCGACCAACACTCAGGTTGACCCCCAATACTATGTTCCTGACAATCGCCATCAACACAAGAACAGTGGAGTTCCGGGGTTAGAACTGGTTTTCTACATTCTATGCTGGTCATAAGAGGCGACTAAAGAGATTGGATGGAAGGCTTGGTGACTTAGTTGAGCCCAATCATTTCAAATCAAAACATGAGACTCCACCCTAGGCGTAACTTATATACAGGTATAACATTCAACCCTGTGGGGGTTCCAACGTAGAATTTGTCCTATACTGGTCGTAAGAAGCTGAACGGAACGATTGGTCAGGCTCAGTGACTTTGCTGAAAGCATTTCATCTTACTCTGACGGTGGATCGTTACTAATACACATAATAGCAATCATTGTATTGTCTGGTCAGACTCGATTATAAAGATCTTATCATATAACTTGAATATTGCTGAGTGCAGCATAAACAGAATACCAACCAACCCAACCCAGGAATTATTATGCAGCTATTTATTTTCTTTTTCACCTGGAGTTTCTGTACAAGATTATTTGCCAACCTACTCCATTGTTGGACAGTAGTACCGCTTTGGTCCTAATAATTTACCCCGTGCACAATGACTAGGTTCACTGTACTCCAGGATTCAATCAGGAATTACAGTAAACCCCTGAAAGCTCTCACACCAAGAATGGAGTGATAAGCCGTCCTGCAAATAGACAATGAATAAATAGCAACCTCCGTGTGAACTGGGTGTTGGGTTTGGTTGTGGTGAAAATTATTATGTAGAAGGCGTTCTGATTTAAAGACTGCTGGTAGCTTATGACCATAGCAACTTGGTTAAAATGTGTTATTAAATATGACTCTAACATGGTGATCACATTGAACAGTGGAATATTATGACATGAAACAAAGAGAGAAATATGGACAGACAGACAGTCGCAAATATTACTCTTAAAGTTTCTCCTTAATGCATGATTTAACATGTTTGAACAGAAATTTGAACAGAATATAGTTTATGAGAATATAAAACATGTTTAAAATAAATATAGCCAGTCTGTCATGTTTCTATACTGTAACCAATACCTTCAATTTCAGTTAAGAATCATGTCATGTCATGTCATAAAATAAGCTCCAGGATTTTACAGATGGTTTAAAAATGAACCTATGAATTTTCAGGTAATGAACATATTTCTTAATGTTGATAAAATATTTTTTATGTGAGAATTATGTCCCAAAGTTTACATGTATTTTACCTAGCTTTGACTGTAAACATGGTTTTGTACTTGAGAAGCAGAACAATATAGGCCATCTTCATGATACATTGACATCAAAACAATTTAAATAAAAATAATCTTTTAAAATAACCTTAATATGCTCAGCCTTACATTAGATCAAAATGAGCAGATAAATCTTTCAGTAAGGGGCAATGAATAAATCTCATTTAATCCTAAGGATTTCAATAATGTTTTGACGATTTAAGAATGTGTGTTGTCACAACATTACTGCACAACACTGCTGAGAAAGAGCAGAAAGTTCAGTTGTAAATGCTGCAACAGAGATAAGTGCAAAAACAGTTTGAACTGTCATGACTGAACACAATACCGTATTTTCTTGAGTATAGTGCGCACCCATGTATAATGCGCACCCCCCTCTAGTGAATTCAGTATTTGGGAGAAAAAAATAATTTTTGAATACCAAGCGCAGAAAAAAATTACACTGTACCCCTTCAGCGAAGTCCGGCAAACGAACGGGTGATGAGAAACTTGGTCAGTACAAATTCGAAATTTGAGATAAAAAATAACCAGACGTCTAATGATATGTAATTTCCTATTTTCCATTCAAGCATGTCAATCATGGCCATAACAAATCTGTCTCTAAGTCCTGTAGAAAATTCAGAATAAAAATTCAAGTGTCATTTGAATATGTGTGAGTTTGCATGACTAAGTAGAGAAAGATACCCTTCACTACCCCCTCAGAGTTCTCAGTCAGGATCACAACACAAGAAATGAATCAAATTCCATGGCCTGGTCTCGTGCAAAGAGGTACGAGTCAGTTCTCTCTCAGGCCCACGGACAAGTCAGATATTAATACTTTCTTTGAAAGTGAGTTTATGCCCAAGTGATATGATCGAATGTAGGTTCTCTGTTATTGGCCAGGACAATTGACACTAGCTACCTAACAACTGATAACATCTCTAATATTCTGACTGAGGGATCAATATTACAAGTAGTTGTAATGAAAATATGTTCAAAATAGACTTGGCTTAGATACTAGTAGTCATATAACTGCATTATTCAGCACAGAAATAGGTTTTAAGAAGATCATTTCAATTTGAATATAAGAAAATAAAGGAGATCTCATAGATTAATAAAAGTGATAATTATTATATTGTTTAAAAAGATTTGAGAGTTACATATAGTATGGTGGAACAAGTTTCTCACCAATAAGATCAATACATAAAAGGTTCAAGAGAACGGTCATGTTGAACTGACAATAGAAAGTACGCAAAATCTTTTGTGCAGCAATAAACATGATTTACATTCATGGAAGGATAGATAGTTTCTAGCATTATTTGACCTAAACCTAACAAATTATTTGACCTAACCTAACAAATTATGGAGCAAAACTTTATTGCATGTGAAGCATAATACCTACTTATATTACTACTGGAGTTCTTTGTGAATTAGGATGTTCAAAGTTGATAGTAATTAGTGTTGATATCAGTGTTAATATATCTTGTCCAAAGCTTCTACAGTCGTACCCCGCTTATACGGACTTCAGATATCCGGAAACCTCGGTTACCGGATGATTTTCATTCAAAACGAAATAATTACTATATAAATTTACCCGTATATACGGAAATTCAGTTTCCGGAACCGGACGGTCATTTTTATACACAAAACACTGAAATGCACACAAAATTGTCTCACTTATCCGGACAATTCACTTCCGCTGGTGGTAATCCTTTGATTCGTGAGAAGTCAATTAACCAAGTGACACTGAGTTACGTTTGAGACGAGCTTGTTTATTGTACATGTTATCCCCTTTGATAAATATGGCGTCTGTGGAGGTCAGAGGTCAAAGTTGTGTAAGCATGGCCTGTCAACCAGCGAAACGTAAGCGACACGCAGTTACAGCACGCGAAAAAAGGGAAATTTGAGTGGATGTATCTTTTTGTCCTGTCATGTCATGAGTTGCATAATTGAAGGGAAGTAACTCTTCCAGTTAGAAGCTGGTTTCAGTTATACGTAAATTCGTTTATACGGAAGAATTGTGAAATGACGCAGGTGTCCGTATAAACGAGGCACGACTGTACTTAAGAAATGCAATGTTCGCATCAACTTGTGTTTTTGTCATTTTTACCATTTCAAAAAAACTGATCTGTATTCTTTCTTTGATCCTTATCTATACCGGTATACACAACATATGGTGAGGTCAGGGAACAAATGGCATTATATGTTCTTTTTTGAACTATCAAAAACATCTTTTTGATCATCCTAACGCCAAAAAGGACAAGGGTGCCCTGATTATGAGCTGTTTTTCACCTCCACCGCAAGTGTTCATAATCTGGTACATTATCACCTTGGACCTCCCTTCTGTTTAAGCTGACATTCAGTAATACAAGCAAAACACTATTAAAAACTACATAAAATCTCAACACAAAGTTTGGAAACCTGAAGCAATTTTAGTCATTTTTCAAACATATTACTGTAAAATGGTGTAATTAAGGGTTTGAAAAGTATGGACAATCACTTGACAAGAAGCAAGTAATTTAAGCATGTTAAAAGAATCAATGCACTCAAATTAAAAGATTTTAACATACGTCGTTTCCATGAAGTTTATATATTATTACTAATTCATGTTTCATAAATTCTACTTTACGATACCCTTTCTATTATCAAGACATTTACCATTACTGGGACTTGCAAATAACCTTTTTAGGCTCAAATGTTTATCATATTTATTTCTTCAGTTGAAAGTCTGGAAAGTAACATAAAAGGTAGAATAGATCAACTCCTTACAAAAGTACTCATGGAAATGAAAAAAACTCAGATCTCAGATTTTAAATAAATGCAGTTAATATACAAAATATATAAATATTCAAACAACTCAATTAGTACTAATTGGGCCTTGGCACAAATACAGCGTATCAAAGGTTTTTATGTCTTTTCACACGTAAAAGTGTGTAAAAATATGAACAAAACAGACTATTGTGAAACTGAGCATAACCAGGTGTTAGTAGATCAAGGTGAATGTCCCTGACCTATGAAACCCACGTGCATGTGATTTGTCAGTGGTTAGTGATTTGTGAGTGGCATTGTGGGATAGTGAATCATCGTCAAAATATCAGAAGGTAAAAGTAACATATTCCCTTCTCAAACAACAACTTACATGTCATTATTATTATGTACATAAACATAGCTGTTATTTTTATTGTTGTTTTGGTAACTTTTTCCGAGGCTAATTTGTATAATGCCTATAGCCTGTTTCTGCCATGTCAATTTGGACTTAGTTTTATTTTTGAATGTTGAAAGTGCCTACAAATTACCTCCTGTAAAGAACATTTTGTATTGAGCACTGAGATAAAACTAGCAAATCCAGACTAGTACTTTTCCAGTTGTTTTGTTATTTCGTATTTACATCTACATAATGCTTTGTGTTGATTATTAAATCCAGCAAAACATTTTTTTTCATTTCCATGAGTACTTTAGCACCTATATATAGCAAATGTATTTTTGTTACAATAATTAACATGTTAAAATATGTGTAAAAGATCTCTTTTTATGTCAAGTGTTTGAGACAGACTGAGGTATCTTGGAGATTCAGTGGTTTGGAAGAAAAGGTGACAAAAGGTGAAAAAAAGAACATAACCTTATTTGTGCATCTTATCGATCATGTTGATAGAAATCAAACACTTTGATAAGTCACTTAGTATTGCATTTTATGTATATAATTATAACACTAATATAGATTAAAAGAAAAAGACTAGAATTAATCATGTTTCAATAAATTGTCCAAAATAAGAAAACAATGACCGTTCCAATACAAACTAGAAAGTGCAGCTTCAGACAGTTTTGTCCTAAGAAGTCAACAGAAAGCAGAGAAATTAATACTCTACTCTACATAAGACTAAATATCCTGATGTGCTAAATGAGGCAGCAAGGTAATATAAACAATACAAACAACTCTTTTCATACATCAAAGCATATCCAAAATCCAGAGCTTTGTTTGGGGAAAACTGATTAACCATGCATGAAACAGCATACAAACATAGGCCATATTGTCCCATATATCATCTAAGTGCGTCCACAGTATAAGACCCCTTTCACTGGCTACCATGGCTGTATTCTATATATTCCCCCATTGTATATTTCCCTGCCTGACGCAGGTGCACCCAGCGGCACTACAGGGCTGACCAATATTGTATAAGGTGTTTGTTGCTTGAGTGATAGGGGATATTCAATGACGGTGTTTGTTGTTTGAGTGATAAAGTAATATTTCATAATGGTGTTAGCTTTCTGACTGATATGGTGTACCAAGCACTCCAAGGTTAGAGCTATATTGGCATGTGAGGCTTGTTGTCTTGTAATTTGAAACTTGTCAATGTCAGGAAAATATTTAACTACCGTCAATTTCGGATTAGGCAAAGGCTTATACAGAGAAACATTGCCTACAATAAAATTCACCCCGATCCCTAAGGTGTAATGAACAGATCTGCCTGTGGGAATACCATGTTTTTATGCACACATAGCCAAGTTGTGTTTGAGACCTGTCAATTATTATAGGAGATTAGCTTGGAGATATTTCAAGGTATACCATATTCACCATATTAAGCGCCCTGCTCCAATAACCAACTTTTAGACCAACTGTTCACAGAACACAGCAGCGCAAAAGGGTAATTTTTGCCAGGTAAGTATTATCAACATTTGAACTAATATTTTTCACTACCACTCGATATCTGAGATTTAACTTGCTGTTTATGGTTTTAATAAGCGCCTCCACTTGTAAATTTTCTAAGATCCCAGGGTGCTAATTACAGTGAATACGGTAAGCTGAAACGAATCAGCAGCAATACTATATCACATTTGTGTGTAAAATACCCTTGCTTGCAGCAGAGATGGTCAACAGTGTGAGCATCAGACCAAGTTAAAATGTTATAATTGATTTAAATTATGCTCCTTTAACACCTTTTTTTTGTTTATATTTGAGTTGAAACTCTTATTTCAAGAGACATTTTCAGGAGATGAACATCAAATCAACCATGTCTTGTACAGGAAACAATTTGAAAAACAGAACATTTAGTAAGCATTTAAAGATTTTTCATTCATAAGTGCATGAGGTACACATAAGGATATATTTGTGAATATATTTAAGTTTGGTTTGTTGTTTTACTTTTGACCTATATCAATTAATTCACATCTAATGTTGAGTTTTGACTGGTTAACAGTCAAGATTAGTTTCACATGAAAATCCAACGACATGAATCAAACCTGCAACCCCATAGATGAAATAAAAACGACATGTTTGATTACTGCGTGTACAAATCTAACAAGATCTCAGTTTATAAGTTGGCTCTTGAATTTGGTTTTAGTGGGTTAGGTCGAAAACTATCAGTCCTTGGTCTTTCTTTGTGACCTATCCCCCTCAGGCCTTCCTACTCCCACCAAGATGTCATTCTAGGTCATGAACCTCCACATCAAAACTCTGCAAGTATCACTAAGCTGTTTAGGTTATCTATATCATTCAATCACCATGAGAACCAATATTCATATTTAATGTGTTAGACAGCTAAACATTCCTTACCAAAACATCATCCTCAACCCCAGTCAGAACTTACTAAGAATATTTAGCTTCAACCCTGTGGAGATTCCGAGGTAAACTTGGTCCCAAGTAACCTATGCTTGTCACAAGAGTTGGTTTACAATAATGGGTGGCTTGGTGATAACATGTACACCAATGGTGTGGGACAGTGCTCATCCTATCAAACACTGATTGGACTGTCCCGGACCTGACTATTACATGCAGCTATGACCCGTGAAGATTCGGGGTAGAATAGGTCTTCAGCAACCCATGCTTCGCGTAAAAGGCGACTGTTTGTTGTAAGAGGCGACTAACAGGATTGGGTGGTCAGGCTCGCTGACTTGGTTGATGCGTGTCATTGTATCCCAATTGCATGGATCGATGCTCATGATGTCAATCTCTGGATTGTCTGGTCCAGACTTGATTATTTACAGACAGCTGTCATAAAGCTGGAATATTGCTAAGTGTTGCATTAAACAACAAACAAACAAACAAAACATGTAGTTATGATAAAGTGTGAATGGTGGTGACTGCAGAATTAAACAACATTCACTCACTCACGATAAGGTCCAAAGACCAGTGTTATCATGCGGGATCTTGGACGCAAGTTCCTCAACAGACCTGATCTAATAGTTTTGCCCGTAATGGAGTCGCCATGAAATGAATTCCTTGGCATGCAAGTATGCGAATGTCAACAATCCATGTAAGATATCACATGACTAAGTGTGGTGGGCTGACCAGCAACCCACTAGTACAGCTCTACAGGTCTGAAGACAGAACCCTACACAAGTATAGTCACACCAAACATCAAATCTAGCCCGATATCCTAGAAACACTTCATGAGGCCACTGAGGAGAATCCAGGTTAGCATAGGTCCCCAGCAACCTGTGTTTGTCATACAAGGTGACAAGAGACATTGGGTGGGCATATTCAGTGATTTTGGGGCATTGCTCATGACATCAGTCACTGGTTTGTCAGGTGCAGACTTGAATATTTACAGGCTTTTACTATTGGGAATGTCCATATATGTAACATATATGTATATTGCTCCAAACATGTTCTAATCCTGATTATTTGACTGGGAATAGTACTGTCCAGATTAACAGGGCTTCACTGTATCCAGTGATAATGGAGTTCCTGATAACAAGATTTCGCTGTATCTGCGACAAAACTGTAACTAGCACCTGTCTTGAAAATACTTTAAATTAGCACCCTTAATGTTTGTTTGTTGTTGTTTAACGCCGCACTCAGCAATATTCGAGCTATATGACGGCGGTCTGTAAATAATCGAGTCTGAGGATCAGACAATCCAGTGATTGACATAATGAGCATCGATCCATGCAATTAGAGTACGATGACATGCATCAACCAAGTCGGCGAACCTGACCACCCAATCCCGTTAGAAGTCTCTTTCGAGAAGCCCATTACGGCAAGCATGGGTTGCTGAAGACCTATTCTATCCAAGATCTTTTACAGGTCTTAATGGCCACTGTGTTGGAACCACACATACAAACCCACAATAACAATCTTACCTTGACAAGCTCCATTACCAGATAGAGTTTATCTGGAGTTTCAAACTCCTCATAAAGTTTGACAATGTTGTGGTGACTACAATCCTTCATAATCTCAATCTCATTCTCCACCATGTGCTCTTTACCCTTCAGCTTTGGTTTGTCAATCACCTTCATTGCAAACTCCTGTCCTGAAGCTTTCAATTTAGAAGTCCGCACAATAGCAAAATTACCATCCCCTAAAGTCCTACCAAGGTCATACTTTTCCAACACAGGTTCATCGTTAGCAATCAGCCTCTCGGCTTTTGTCCTTCTCACAATCTTTGTCTTCTGTCGTTTCTTCACTGAAGGTTTCTCATTATCCTTATTATCCTTATTGTCCTTATTGTCTTTTGTTTCCTTGTTTTCCTTGTCTTTCACTCTGTCCTTATCCGAAGTCTTGTCTTCTTTTCCTTTCTCTTGTTCTGCCTTCTTTCGTTCAGCTTTTTCTTTTTCTTCCTTTTCTCTTTCCTCCCTTTCACGTTCTTCCTTTTCTGCTGCTGCTTTCCTTGCCCGAGCAGCTTTCTCTGCCTCTTCAAATTCCTTCCTCCTCCGTTCCTTTTCCTCTTCTTCCATTTGTCTTTTCTTCTCCTGCTCCTTCCTCCTCCTTGCTTCCAATTTTTCCTTCTCTCGTTCCTTCATTTTCTTGAAGGGATCATCTTGGCCCTTCAGAGGAACAAGCCCACGTTTCCTTCTCTCATCCTCCAGGGCCCGTTTCTCAGACTCCAACATCTTCTGTTGTCGCCGCCTGGCTCGTTCCCTTTCATCATAGACATCCTTCCCAAATGCATCTTTCTGCTGCTCCCGAGGAGTCTCTGAGTGGGGATCTCTTGCAGTGTCTTTGGAAGGACTTTGACTGTGTTTGTCTTTATCTCTCCTGTCTCTCCGTCGCCCCTCTTCAGGGCGACCTCGACCTGTCTGAGTGGCCTCATGGTCGGAATCCCTATTGCTATTGCTTCCTTCACTTGGCTCTCCAAAACCACTATCCCGTTTGTCAGCATCTACTTCTCGGTGCACAGGAGCAGCGTGTTTCTTCTTTCGTGACCTTTCCCATTCTTTATGAAGGTTTTTGGCATGAGGGCTACTGTCTGGATACATCTCCTGAAGAATGTCCTTCAGATCCTCCTCAACAATGGCTTCATTACCGCTTGCCACGAACATATCATCGTGACGGAAGAAGTCTGAGATACCCTGAACCTCACGTCCCTTTGTTGTGCATAATTTCCGCACTTTGTTATTTTTCCACTTTGGTCCAAAGGCTTCAGATATGTCTGCCATAAGCTGTTCAAATGATTGAACGCTTCGTCGATTAAGCAATATTTTAACACTATGTCTTGGCCGATTTCCATTGCGCACTATTGTGATGACTTTTGGTTTCATAGACACATTTTCCGAAGAAAGGTAAGCATTCTTGCTTGCTGTCCCAAAGGCTCCAGGCCAGCGCCTGTTTGGTAGGGAGCCATTGGCCCGGAAGTAACGGCCAGGGTGGAAAGCATTGTTTGTGGCATAACCACGGTAACGGTATCCTTGAAGCTCTCCAGACATGTCAAGATCACCATGATTGTGAGGACGTGCTGTAACAAAGAAGGAATATTCTTCAATAAAAGTAAGAAATGATGCGTAGATGGTCCATATTATCATCAAAACTGGTGTAACTCAACAAGAAAATACGGCCAAACTACTTCCATAACAGATACCGGTACAATAATCCATTGTTATTTCGCACTCAATAATTGTATATAATATATATATATTTTGGAAAATAAGGACATGCTGTAGCCAGCATCCCCACGGAAACTCTTTTTCTCTTCAGTTTATGTGAAAAGGACTTCATTTAATGGTGAAACAAGTAACACAACCCTTGTTGCTGAGATTAAGATTTCCCTAATAGGTGTGAAGCAAGTTTCTTCGGTCAAAAGCTCAAAGGCCAGAGTTATAGTTATGAGATGGTCTGTCAACATGACATGGGGCAGTTTATAGACAACGTCTGTACGTGGGACGAAAGCCCAATTTCACACCACAAAGAACACAACTATGGTGTGGACAAAACAGGAATCTCTTTACTAGGACACATCAAACCCATTACCAACAGCTTGGACCTTAGACCACTTGCCCACCAGTTTCCCAATGACACAAGCAGCTTTGACTCTGTCAACCTAAATAGCTTGTCTGTAGAGCCAAACATGAGGCACAACTAGATCAACGAGATAGGAGGAGGAGTAGGTGGAGGAGAAGGAGGAGGAGAAAGTGGAGGAGAAGGGAAAGAAGAAGGAGGAGAGAAGGGGAAGGAGGAGGAGGGGAAGAAGGAGGTGGAGGAGGAGAAGGGGAAGAAGGAGGGGGAGGAGAAGGGGAAGGAGGAGGAGCAGAAGGTGGAGGAGGAGAAGGGAAAGAAGGAGGAGGAGAAGGGGAAGGAGGAGGAGGGGAAGAAGGAGGAGGAGGAGAAGGGGAAGGAGGAGGAGGGGAAGAAGGAGGAGGAGGAGGAGGAGAAGGGGGAGGAGGAGGGGAAGGAGGAGAAGGGGAAGGAGGAGGAGGGGAAGAAGGAGGAGGAGGAGGAGGAGGAATGAAGGAAGAAGAAGGAAAAGAAGAAAAAGGTTTATTGTACATAAACACCCACAGGGGCAGGGTACAAAGCATGAACATGACTAGTTATGAATATAAAAGACATGAAAGATAGCATATATCTACACAATAAGTCATACCAACATAATTGTCACCTAGGAAAATGTATCAGTATTTACCAAGTTGTACTTCCCCTTCTTCAGTTTGCATCCTTTTTAAGCCACAAGTTTGTCATTTCTCAATCAGTCTCCTAACCATGTTCAAAGCTGACTGAACTGATATATATGAACTTCCCTCATAGTATGACTATGAATTTCACAACGCATGGTCATAAGTGTCACTGGTTCCTAACAAACCCATACAGGTGATGTAACTCAGTACATTGCATGTCTGAAGAAGCAGCTGTGTGATTAATACTACCAACTGTTGGTCGAGAAGGGTGTGTATTTCCGTACAAGCTCATATGTCAACCTGTCATTGAGACATGTCTGGCTTGCCACCATAGCAACATACAACTACAACATGCAATATACATTTCACTTTTATTATTGAACTCAAATACTTGAGGCAAACTGATACCATCGCTTCTACAGACAGATATGTAGTAATGTCCTTATACCAAGCAATAGAAAAGATGGAAAAGAATATATATCAAATAGATTATCTTAAACACAAATTATTATTAATCATAGCATTAGATTTCCTTTCCATTATCAATAAGATAAATACTTAATTAACTTGTGGCCAGTAATGCCTGACACATTAGAGAGCACTGAGGCAGGCGAAGGCATTCCCATGGCATTGCTTAAAACTGAATGGATATATTTGCTATTCCCTTCCTGAGAAGTTCAATTATGGCATATGTTTTCGTAAAGGTGTGATATAATGATATTTCAAACAGGCAATTTAAATTTTAAAAAGTGTGTAAATTCAGGATTTCTGTTTCAGTGAGTTTTTTATAATGCAACAAACAGACAAAGGAATAACAAGTACAAACAAGATTAACCAGAATATCCTGCATTTTGTTGTACAGAAATACAAAGATCTATGGTGTTCAAATAGAACAACAATTCTAACAAGAAAATATGAAAGAGATCAATATTTTTCCATCCGCCCAAAGAGCGGAAGGTCCGGGGTTCGATCCCCAGCCGCGTCATACCAAAAGACATTAAAAGATGGTACTTGTTGTTACCCTGTCTGGCGCTCCTAAAACAAGGACTTGTCAGCTCGGAGTCAGTATATTGTGTCTGAGTGGGGTATTCATGATAAACTGCAGCATGGTAGCACGATAAATCGGTATCAGTTCGGACTCATACAAGCAGCCACACACAAACGTGCATGCACGTCGCTATATAAGTGCAATAATCTTGGACGTGACCTTAAACCCCATTTCACCTCAACTCACCTTGAACAACAGCCAATGTGTTTTCAAATCGTCAGATTTCCACTGCATTTCATACACATACCTACTCAGCCTAATTGTCAATGACAAGATCTGTCATCATCCATGTCGAGATGTTACAAAAGTGAAGATAAGTCAATAAGGTGTCTCCAGGTATATCAAAAATAACCAACAGCATTTGACTGTAAGTGGCGACCACTGAAACATTCCCGGGCGGCTGACTCCCATGACCTCAAGAGCCTATGATTAGCAATACCATGTTGTTTCTGCATGAACACTTATTAATCTGTGTATCAATTGTGACAAACACATAAAGACATTGCTGTGAGAGGTTATCCCCCTTACCCTTTTTGGTAAGCCTGTATTCATACCTGCAGATTCTATCAAGCCTGATTGGCTCCTCACAAGCCTAACAGCTTAGTGCTTCATTGTTTCTCCCATTCTAATACCACATGTCTCATAAAGTGAGCCACACCAGTCAAGCTATGTTACATATAGCCATGTTAGATAGTGGACACCAGGAACTGGGGTGTTACACATAGCCATGTTAGATAGTGGACACCAGGAACAGGGGTGTTACACATAGCCATGTTAGATAGTGGACACAAGGAACTGGGGTGTTACACATAGCCATGTTAGATAGTGGACACCAGGAACTGGGGTGTTACATATAGCCACGTTAGATAGTGGACACCAGGAACTGGGGAGTTACACAGAGCCATGATAGATAGTGGACACCAGGAACTGGGGTGTTACACATAGCCATGTTAGATAGTGGACACTAGTTACAGGGGAGATACACATTGAAAGATTAAATAGATGGCACAAGTCAAAGTACCTTACACATGATCAGATCAAATGGCTGACACCAGTCCAGGTATCAGGTTAAATAGTTGACACCAGTCCAGGTATCAGGTTAAATAGTTGACACCAGTCCAGGTATCAGGTTAAATAGTTGACACCAGTCCAGGTATCAAGTTAAATAGTTGACACCAGTCCAGGTATCAGGTCAAATAGTCGACACCAGTCCAGGTATCAGGTTAAATAGTTGACACCAGTCCAGGTATCAGGTTAAATAGTTGACACCAGTCCAGGTATCAGGTTAAATAGTTGACACCAGTCCAGGTATCAGGTTAAATAGTTGACACCAGTCCAGGTATCAGGTTAAATAGTTGACACCAGTCCAGGTATCAGGTTCAATAGTTGACACCAGTCCAGGTATCAGGTTCAATAGTTGACACCAGTCAAACAAGGACCCTCTGACCCATCCCCTTCAGTGGTCTGACTGGACCCAGCCTGCTGCCTCAGACCCCCTCAGGGGTCGTGTCCTCGGGTCCTTGTGTTAGGGCATGTTGACCTCGTCAAGAGTAACTATTTGGATAGTAATGTACAGCAATAAAGTGTAAATCTGTGTTCTTCTCAAATACTAAGCATTTTCAGGGATGAAAATTCAAAGGAAGCAAAATGTTTTATGCACTTAATAATAGTCCACCACTTTCGGCTGAACTTATAGGGACACAAAAAGTATGAAAATGACAAGTTTAAAGTAAGTCATGGTCACACATTCCACAAAGATTTGGTGTGTAATGACATCAACAGGTTGCAATGAAGTAAAAGGTACTTCAAAATACTTCAATGTCAATCAGGAAACAACTCATTTCTCGTGTCAATGTACCAGTATCAGGAATATTCACATATGACATGTCACCAAGTAATTTGGACACAACAAAACTCAACACTTTGTACAACTTTCTATGCTAATTATTTAACCTCAGTCTCAAACATATTTGTTATAATTAATTCACTATATTTTATTACATGTACGCATAAATAAATAGTTGTGTGTCTGTCATGTGTGGAGTTGACAGTAAGACAGTGTTAAACTTCTAGACCCATCACGTTCAGTAAAAAGGTTCAGTTAAATTACCACACCAACATTAGGAACATGATAAGGGGATTATCTGTCCAAATGTCAGTCATATCCTGAGTTTCTAATTTAGGTCATGAAAGCCCAGAGTGATGCACAGCCACTTGGTGTGTCTGACAAGCATGGGTATAAAGTGTTTGAATCAGTGAGGCACACCTTGTACCAGTGAGACACACCTTGTACCAGTGAGACACACCTTGTACCAGAGAGACACACCTTGTACCAGTGAGACACACCTTGTACCACTGACACACACCTTGTACCACTGACACACACCTTGTACCACTGACACATACCCTGTACCACTGACACACACCCTGTACCACTGACACACACCTTGTACCAGAGAGACACACCTTGTACCAGTGAGACACACCTTGTACCAGTGAGACACACCTTGTACCAGTGAGATACACCTTGTACCAGTGAGACACACCTTGTACCAGAGAGACACACCTTGTACCACTGACACACACCCTGTACCACTGACACACACCTTGTACCACTGACACACACCCTGTACCACTGACACACACCTTGTACCACTGACATACACCTTGTACCACTGACACACACCCTGTAGGGCTGACACACACCCTGTACCGCTGACACACCCCTTGTACCACTGACACATACCTTGTACCACTGACACACACCTTGTACCACTGACACACACCTTGTACCAC